ACTCAAGACACAACACACTACAAACATTGACAGTTTGATAAGATAATCGGGAAACATTGGCAACCACAGTACATAATCACCATTGCCCCCCATGTAAAACATCCCTCTTATTAGCTATCTGATGACTCACTATATTGGAGTAGCCTTCATCATATAATTCTGGAAATAAAAAAAGATATCACCAAAATTGATAACAAAAAAGTTTTGAAAATCTTTGGTCTACAAAACATAATACTCGCCCTGTTTTATGTTAACACATGGAAAGAGAGAAGAGGGAGGGTGGTGGTCAAGAGACTTGATGCAAGACTAGTACAGTAACATTATACACCTCTGAATGTGGGACTAGCCCCATATCATCCATTTTGTACAACTATCCTTCTGATTGCAGCGTGAGAAAAGGAGAGAATGGATGATATGGGGAAATTTGCATCATGATAAACCATGACATCTCAAATCTTCTCAGCCCTGAGACATGTTTCAGGTGAAACAGAAAGATGCTATGAGTATCAGAATGGGAAATTTGCATTCAAAGGGTGTATTGAGCTGAACATTTTCTCACTTGAACTATTGGTAAATGACTGTTAGAGGGCAATGCTTACAGAACCACTTATTAGTCAAAAACATAAAATAAAAGCTTTTAAGCAGTTAGGAAGAATCAAACATTCACAATTTTAATGATCATGGCTTAATATGCATTTGTTCAAGGTTTACATCACTCATTTTTGCTAAATGCAAGCTTAACTCTGACTAACCTTATTGACAATGTCCATCTAATATTTTAATAGGATGCTTAATTCACTGATTCATATAAATCATCTTTTGTGATAATAAAGTCAATTCAAATTTATATACATGTACTCATATAATCATCGAGAGCAACTGACTTAAGGTATTGGTTCCAAAGTACAACAAAAAAACAACAAGGAGATGCAGCAGTACCATATAGTAATATTTCACAAGTGAATGGCTCAAAATTAAAATATGAACACTTTTGCAACTCTACCATCAATTATCAATTCTTATGTTACCAGGCAGGCCCGTAGCCAGGATTTGCCGAGGGGGGGGGGTTCAGTTTTCAAAAGTTTCCAGGGGGGTTCACATTTGATAATTTTGTCCCAAATATGACTAAAATCACTTGAAAAGTGCTCAAAATGGTGAAAAACTGCATGATTTTGAAAAGATTTGAACTCTGTGGACCCCCCTGGCTATGGGCCTGCCAGAATAATGTGAACATGTTTAGCCAGCCCCAGCTATGATCACTTATAAGGGGTTCTTGAGATTCACTGAATTTCAAAATACCAGATATCTTTGTATCTAAATGTTGCTTTATCTCTACCAAGCTATAATAAATTCACATAATTGGATCATTCAAAAGATATATGTTCAACTGAAGTAACTAATAAGTGAGTAAGGTTAGTCTAGTCTTACCAGCTACAGACAAGTGGCATCATATGAGAGCTAATTAGCATGACAGTTGTTATTGATATATATCAGTTAAAAAGCAAATGTCAAGAGAAGTATCAGAGAAAATATCAGGTATCTTAACAACCACAGAGAGATTCAGCTGAACCTGACCTATTGCAATAGTGTTATGTTGGAGAACTAAACAAATGAACGATATCAAATATTTTCTGGTTCCCAGGCTAATTTATAGCAAACTGCACTTTACTTCATTAGTTTAGTTCATTAGTTGAAATTCCTGGTGAAATGAAGACATCATGCAAGTTAATATAATGTTTAAAAAGGCCTACAAAAAAGGTGTTCTCATTTCAAGGTGTTCCCATCCAGGATGTGACACAAAAATGATACAAGGAAGAGGTAATTATTAGCTCTACTAAGAAGAACTTATGGCCTATCTGCCCTTATCACATATGTCACAGAATCAAGTGTTTTCACTGACTTGTTCATTTTATTGCAGTTCTACCATGAAAAGCAGGTTAAATTTCTAGCTGAACAAAAAATGTGGAGAAAAATTAAAATACCATATGATCATAGACAATGTAAATATACAAAATATCTCCATTGAAATCTCACAACAGCTCAACAAGACAACAAAAATCTATTCAACCAAATGAGAAAGCATGCCATAATCATACGATATGATTTCTGAGAAATGTTACAATAGAAAACAGACAGATGACAGATTAACTGAGCCAATATTGTATTCCTTCAATCCCATCACTTCAAATCATCGAGGGTGAAACATTTAATAGAATTGTTGACAAATAATTTTAATATGAAAAGAAAGTGAATGATTATGTTTTTTCTTGAATATTATTTCAAGACTTGAGAATAAAAAGAATGAGTGAACACATCGGGTTTGATTGACCATATTAGGGATGGGAAGGGGTGTTTTCAATTACATTAAATAAACATTCATTAATTACAATGTACATGTATAATTATTTTCAAATATGTGTGAATTCACACTCTACTTATTTCAATTACTTAAGGAATATATAGTTTTTGATTAACAATCATGATAATTGAAACATATTGCTTTGAACCTGTAGATAATTACAGGTATTTTATGACCTATATTTTATATGTCATGGAAAGGTGCTTCACGTATTGTAGTTTCTTCCCAAGATTTTCCTAAAATGGGTGTAAAATTCTCAGTTTCATAATAATTTGAGTTGGTTCAAATATATGAAAAGCAGTGGGTGTAACTATACATTGCAGGCAAAATATATATGTCATCATTATAGACTCCTGAATATTTCATAAAATATATTTCCAATGCATTGGGGACATATTCTCCTATAGAAGGTTACACTATACTATTATGTGTTATGTACTATCCTGTCATAATAACAATCAAGTATACAGAATGATCAACATTACCTAGTGACTGTCAAGAAAAGTATGGCTAACCAATCCTGCAGTAGTATGAAAAAATGTGACCGTGTTATGAAGGTATTAGTTGTGATTGTGACACAATCACAATTACAAGTGTGAGTGTGGGGAGGCAAGTATGACAATATTAAAGCTAAATGACAAAATCATATCTAAAGACAAACTTATTATTAACAATAACAACAAAATTAGCAAACGAAAAAGTTAATATGAGCTAACAACAAACATGCTTTTAAAATCAAAACTGTTCCAATAATGAACTGATATAATTATTAATATTAATTATGATTGATCAATTATTGGAACTGTAATTGAATAATAAAACATGTGCTTACCTATATTTTTAGCTCAACATTCACCACGGGTTCTGTAATAAAATAGAGAACTGTTCTTATGTAACAAGATTAAGAAAAGTATTCTTATTACCATGCAATACTTCACCATGATATCAGAAAGAGAGAGAGATGTTGAGGGGTAATATCATGGGCTTTCAATAAAATGCCCATGTTAATATGGAGACTTGAAACATACAAGACAAGGTTGTTTTGGATTTGGAACTACTGTCTTCCAATATTTGATCTGAATAAATAAATTAAGCTTATCAGCTGATGCTCAGAGAACTATGAAATATTCAACACATTGGCTCTTTATTGATTTGATCTCTTAGTAAGCTATATCCAGTATCAAGAATGATGTACACCAACTTGAAGAACCTTATTAGAAACCAAGCTTGTCTCTGATAACTTTTTTAATACACATCTTCAACTACAAAGAGAATAGAAAATATGTAAAATAATTCTCTAATAAGATTGTGGTCGCACCTTACATATACACTCTCTAACATTAATTTGGGGTAATAGATAATGCGGGGGGGATTATGAAGGTAAAGAAAGGCTCGGTATAACAAACTTGATGCAAAATAATATTAAGCCTACTAGCCTAGGGCATATAATATGCTAAAATTCAAGGGCTTAAAAAGTCAGTGAATGAGAAAACAAATGCAATAGTAATAATAATAGAACCAATGTGCCATATGACTTGTCTTCAGGGTATAATATCAACTCATTATCGTTTTATTGCTACCATATTTATGATATTGTGAAATATCACCGTCATAAAATATCTATTGAAATATTGCACTTTATAGGCATTTTAGGACATAAGATATAAATACAAGGTATCCAGGGACTACTTGCGTGTGTTTATAAATTACCACATTTTTATCTGTATATATGACTACATGCTACATAACAGAGCACATACCCTGGTTTAGGTTGAAGAAACTGTCCTTAAACTTGGCATGAAGCAACCAATGTAGAATCAAAAACCAGACATACGGCCGGTTATAAAGTACTAAACCTAAGTTATACATCTTCACAGATGGATGACAATTTTAACGGCAAACTGAGTTTAAGTTAGCATGTGCACTCATTTAAATAAATTGATAATCATATTCAACTTGCTCAATTGCAAACAGCATGCAGTCTTTCAAAGATAATTACAATGTTAAAGTATAAACCACAACTCAGAGCACACTGGTATAGTTGTGGTTTATTTGTGTGTGATTTATGACAAAGGAAATCCTCAGAAAATATATGTACTGAGATATAAGTGTGTCCTCATCTGTACTATGAATCATCATTTTTCAAACATAAACAAAGAGAGAAATCACTCATGATCTCCAATATTTCATTCATTCATTGCGACAAAAGACAGTCTTGCCAGTAGGCCTAATACAACATCCAATTGAACATGAATTTATTAGCCTAATAATAAAAAATCAGGTTTAGATTTTACCGCCATTTCACTGTTTGTTGACATTTTGAGGGCATCACTTGTTCTTTAGCATTAGACCTTACTTGGGCAATGTACATGTACAGTTAGAAATTGAACAACCATATGCTTGCTCAATCAATGTAAAACTTGGGCAGGTTTGGAACACAAATAGCACCATGACATCTCTGTAACTGATCAGTACTCGATCTAGAATGTGTATACACTGGATGACCTTTCAAATTCAATAAAAGCAACCACTTTTTCATCTGGTTTGACTCAGGTTGACTTTCATTTTCAATGTTTCACATTTCTAGATATATGACCAGCTAAATTGATGAAAGGCTACGATGATCTAAAATGTATCTTACCAACGCCTTTCTGACTTTATTCCTTAGTTGAAGAATGCTTGCAGCTTTCGTTATCCGTCATAAATCAGCAAGATTGAGTTCCAAGTTTTTCAACTTTCTCCTCAGAATTTGGGACAAACAACAACAACTACCAACATCATATTAGTTCGCGAGTGACGTCACTAGATATAGTCTCTAAACAAATGTTACATTTAAACTTTGGCTGCGAAAGAAAATTAATAAAACTGAAGATAATTATTGATTATTCTCTTTTGAATTTATTAGATACCAAGAAAAGAATAAAAATATCCAATCATGTGTATTACTGCGGATTGATATATCAGCTGATGGAACTACTTTAATTCACAAGCAAAATCTCGACTTAGCGAGGCCAAGTTTTCTTCAAATACTCTCTGTAAAGTAGCATAAAATATTTATGATTTTTACCATTAATAATTTTGAAATATAGAGAGTACATGAATATCATTTATTCTAGTTTTTGATCGATATTGTCTGTGTGTCATTTTTACACTTCCGGGTTAAAAGTTTTTGCGAAAAGAGTTGGCACCAAAGTTTACATTTCCCTTCAAAATAGTATATACCGTCCAATATGGACCAAGAAATTGCTTATGATCAACTTAAAACATCCGAAGGAACTTTGAAAATAGATTCAACCATAGAACCTACACCAAAAAGAATGAAAACTGGAGAAGAAAAATTATCCTGTAAAACTGAAACTGAAAGTGATTGCCTTGCCAAATCTGAGGGTATTCAGGGAGCCAATTGTTATCAAGTTCCATCATCGGTATCAGGTGATCATACTACCATAACAGTTTTTTTACAAGTGTGCGATACTACATTTTTTAATTTTGTAAATTTTGCCATATCAAACAGATGAATTTGTTCAACGTTGTTAAACTTCGATAGCAAGTCACTAGACTACTACAGTCTCAGCTGTAGTGGCTAGCCTTTATGGCTCAGGGGTAGAGCATCTGACTCTGAAAGCAGAAGGTCCTAGGTTCGATTCCTGTACGGTATGGGGCATTGAATTTAGCACACTCTCTTTCGAGTCTAGTATCTAGCTCGGTACACTACAGCTCCCCGACGGATGTGCCCAAGGGTCGTTACAAACTCAATAACGGCGTTCTTTACAATGAGAATTTTCTTGCCCGTTATTGAGTCAGATAAGAAATGAGGCCCAGGCTAGGTCTAATGTTGTTGGACTAACAGATGAATATGATCCTAGACCTGTTCCAATATTGTAAAATTATATCATGGTCGTGATGACACAGGAATTTGAACTAAAATTTCACCTACTGATAGTAAATCATCAAAACATTCAAAAACAGACTTGCTGAACAGTTTTTCGACCAATCAGATTGCAGCATTATGTAACGCACCCACTTTTTTGCCAGACACCAGATTGGAGAGAAGAAAGTATAGATCATGATTTGGGTTTGCATAACTCCCGGGGCAAAACTGCACACTGACTATGCTATTTCATCAGTCTCCTAGCCTTCGTTCAGTGCAATCTGTGCCTCCTGAGTGAAGGTATGCAACGAATGAAATGAAATTTGAGAATGCTATTTCATGAAAAAAATACTGACCCATTGTCATATTTAAAAAATCTTCAATATAATTTCAAATAGAACTAAAATTGCAGTGTCGTAAAATGGTGTGATGCAGACTCCAAATGACATCTTATCAAACTTGTGGATGGGTTTGCAAAATAAGAATAATCAAAATCTGATATAATGGTCAGAAAGAAGTTTATTGTTATTAAAATTATGTTACCATATCTCCCTGTATTCATCAAGAGCCCAGTCTTATTTTGATCCGTAATATAACACTTGTTTTAAATTTGTTTTGTTTTCAGAAAATGATGGTGATTCTGACAAGAAGAAAGATGGTGTTGAAGAAAACAAGCCTACTGTCCTACCACAAAAGAAAGGTGAAAGCCAAGATGATGAACGCAAGAAAATGCAGTAAGCATGAATTTGTAGTCAAATTAGAAAGTTGTTTGGTGCAAAAAAGTCATTCTGCGCATATGAAATTTTCACTCAACTTTATTTTCAAAATATAGGTTGTCCAATTCCTTCTATTATGGTGTAAATATTCCTTACTGCCAATGTTAAAACATAACGTGTAGAATAACTAAGTAGATCACAAACTTCCTCTCAATTCCCTGTGTGCTATCATAGAAGCTTAAAATATATGTTACCTAGATCTTATGTAACAAAACATCACTAAGGAAAGCCTTGAGCAGGTTTACTGTAAACACACCAGCTTTACTAATATCATAGATATACTGGGATATAGCCTTGAGACTTATAAATGGCAATAATATTTCATTCCAATATTGGTACTGGTACTACTGGTACTAGATATAGTGCTACAGCAATTTAATTAACAAGGAAAGGGCAAATAAAGATATAAGTTACTTCTTTTAAAACTATACCATTGTATGCCCTGTATGGTATCACTATTAAGTCTTTAATACATATAAACTCTTGTCCAAACACTCCAATTGTAATTGATTATAGCATGATATTTGACTTCAGAATCCTAGTGTCTAACTTTTCTGAAGACCAACTGAATAGATATGAGATGTATAGAAGAGCAGCGCTCCCCAAAGCATCTATCAGAAAGGTAAATAAACTTGCAGTCAAATGGTTCAGTATCCGGATGCAGTCAAATGGTTCAGTATCCGGATGCAGTCAAATGGTTCAGAATCCCGATGCAGTCAAATGTTTTAGTTTCTCAATGCAGTCAAATGTTTCAGTCTTTCAAAGTAGCAGACATATGTTTCAGTTTTTTAAAGCAGTCAGATATTTCAGTATCCTAAGTAGTCGACAAGTGTTTCAGTATCTCTCAGCCGTCACATGTGTTATGTATCTGGTTTCAGTACTGGTCATTAAGACATGTAAGATATCTGATACAAAACACAACATGGTGTCAGATGTGGTCTCACATGAATAAGTAGATCAGAGACATTAACAATGGCAAGTGGATACTCAAAGATAGTGAAGGAATTAGACGTTTATGGCCCTAATCTCTCAGAAGATTGGAAGAGATGGAGAGAACTTATTGAATTAATGTTTGATTCTCCTGATGCCACAAAATGGAAAGAGCAAGAGAAAGCCGCTCAAATTCTCCTTCTTATCGGCGAGAAAGGAAGGGACATTTGCAGATCGTGGATTGCCACTGGGGTACTTTCGGAATCACAAAAGAAGGAGTCTAAAACCCTCCTTGATAAATTTGAGGAATATTGTACACCCAAGAAAAACAGGTCGATCCAGAGGAAAATGTTCTATGAATGCTACCAGTTGAAGGATGAGTCTATTGACGAGTTTGTTACAAAACTTAGACTTATTGGCAGAGACTGTAAATTCCCCGATCTTGACGAGATGATCGCTGACATGATATTGACACATTGCCATTCAACACAAGTCCAAGAGAAGCTACTAAGATACGAGGAGGACCTCACATTAGACCATGCTCTAAAGATAGCACGCTTATATGAGCAGAGTAACGTCCATAAGAACTCTCTAAATTCCCGCACAGAAAGTGGACATGAGGAAGTCAGTATTGTAAAGAAGTCGCAGTCACAAAGGTGTGACAACTGTGGACTGATACATAAAGGAGGCACGTGTCCTGCGGCTAATTAGCAGTGTAACGGATGTTTAAAATTCGGGCATTTTAAAAGATGTTGCCGTAGTGGGAAATCTAGTGAAAAGGACTCTAGAATACGGAGGCAAGGCAAATCTGGAAAACGTAGAAACCCCCGAAAAGTGAACCAGGTGGAGGAATCAGTATCTTCAAAAGATGAAGTGTACTTGGGATCTGTAACCACTGAAATCCCAGACACCCAGACATCAAAGATAGCCCAGATTCCCGCCAAAACCCCAGATATACCCAACTCAAAATCCTGGATTATACAACTAAAAACAGGTGGGCACACCCTTACTGCTAAGGTGGACACAGGTGCCCAGGCCAATGTGATCTCACATGGACTGTTCAAGAGGTTAAGACACCCCCCTATGAAAGCTTCTACCACAAGGCTATTTACCTACAACAGGCAGCCCCTGGACGTCATGGGTGAATTTGATATGCCTTGTAACTTTGAAGGGATTAACTACAAAGTGAGATTCATAGTAATTATGGAGAAAGCTGACACTTTAATTAGTCTGCAATCGGCTATTCTCTTTGGCTTAGTTTCCAGAAGTAACATTTCTACAGTTGGCTCTGACAGCACACTGACCACAGACCAGTTGGTGTCGAATTACAGCTATTTATTTGAAGGCCTAGGCTGTCTGCCTAGCAAAGTGCACATTACCCTTGAAGAAAATGTCACGCCTGTGGTACACCCCCCTTACAAGGTAGCTGTTCATCAGAGAGACAAATTGAAAACTGAATTAGAGCGAATGCAAAAACAAGGAGTAATTGCCAAAGTGGATGAGCCCACTGATTGGGTGAATAATATAGTTTTGGTTGAGAAGAGCGACAAATCTCTTAGGATATGCCTTGATCCTGCAAACCTCAACAAAGTTATTAAAAGGGAACCGTACCCTACTGCCACAACAGAAGAGATCAGCACAAGATTGAAAGGTGCTACGAGGTTTACCAAATTGGATGCGACAACCTCATTTTGGCAACTTGAACTTGATCATGAGAGTTCGTTGCTTACTTGTTTCAACACACCCTTTGGACGATATCGATTTACACGTCTGCCATATGGACTAAACATATCTACTGAAAAGTTCCAGATGGAAGTTTGTAAAGTTCTAGAAGGAATAGATGGCGTTGAAGTCCAAGTGGATGATATATTGATTTCTGGCAAAGATGAGGAACAGCTTAAGCATCGAATGGAAGCAGTGTTCCAAAGAGCAAGTGAGAACAACCTCAAGTTTAACAGGAAGAAATGCCAGTTTAATGTGCCATCAGTCACATATGTAGGACACACATGGTCGAGAGATGGACTGAGTATCCCGGATGATCGGATAAAAGCGATAGTTGAGATGAAAACCCCTACAGATAAACAATCACTGAGTCGATTCCTTGGCATGGTGAATTATGTCGCCAAGTTCGTACCACGCTTATCAGAGCTAAATGCTCCCTTGCGAGAACTACTGAAAGAGGATATTATTTTCGAATGGAATAAGCCACAGATAGAAGCGTATGAGCAGCTGAAAAAGCTTATAACTACAGCGCCAGTTCTCAAGTTTTACGACCCCAATAAGCCATCAGTGCTGAATGTAGACTCTTCGAAAGATGGTCTTGGAGCTGTCCTACTACAGGATGATATGCCTGTATGCTACGCGTCAAAATCGCTAACCCCTGCACAACAAAACTACTCCCAAATAGAGAAAGAGATGACGAGTATATGTTTTGGAGCAACTAAGTTTCACCAATACCTCTATGGTAAGCCCTTCGTCGTGGAAACTGATCACAAGCCCCTGGAGGTGATCGCAAAGAAAGCTCTAAATAAAGCCCCAGCTCGATTACAAAGAATGCTTTTGCAAATGCAAAAGTACGATGTCACAATCAAGTGGAAACCTGGAAAAGACATGGTTATATCAGACACTCTCAGCAGAGCATGTGTAGACAGTGACACAGAAAGCTCGAAAATTATTGCTTCTATCATGAACGACATTGATCAACAAGCAGATGGATTACTTCAAGCTTTACCCATGTCTAAACCAAAACAGCAAGAGTACAGGAACGCGACCTCGAATGACCCTGTACTGCAACGCATTATGGAATATTGCAGAATTGGATGGCCTGAAAAGACTGATGTACATGAGTCAGTCATGCCATATTACACCTTTCATGATGAACTCAGTACAGTTGATGGTCTCGTGTTCAAAGGCCTGAAACTGGTAATTCCCACATCAATGAGAGAAGAAGTAAAGTCGCTTATCCATGAAAACCATATGGGAATCGTTAAAACAAAATCCATAGCGAGAGAGACACTCTTTTGGCCCAACATGAATTCCCAGATCGAGGATATGATAAAAAACTGTGACATTTGCAAAACCCACAGAAATGCCAATCAAAGAGAACCTATGATTCCACATAAGGTTCCTATGCGCCCCTGGGAAAAGATAGGTGTTGACCTATTCTCACATAACAACAAGGATTACCTAATTGGAGTAGACTACTACAGCAAGTACCCTGAGCTGTACTCACTCACCAGCACCAAGGCAAAACCCATCATAAATTGCCTAAAAGCCTCGTTCAGCAGAAATGGTATTCCCCAAACAGTATTCAGTGACAATGGTCCACCATTTCAATCATCAGAATATGTAAAATTCAGCGAAGACTACAACTTCGACATTGCTACATCGAGCCCGAATCTAGCAAATAGCAATGGCCAAATAGAAAGGACAATTCAGACTGTAAAAAATATTATCAGAAAATCAGATGATATTTTCACAGCCATGCTGAATTTGAGAAACACCCCAATTGATGCGAAGATCAACAAATCCCCAGCAGAATTACTTATGGGTAGAAAACTGCGATCTAAAATTCCTACAAGTGATGTTCTACTGAATCCCCAAAGCCCAGATCCCAACGTTCGCACAAAACTTCAGCAGAAAAAGCAGATGGAGAAGAGAAAGTATGACCTCCGCGCTCGTCCCCTTGCCCCTCTTCAACCTAATACCCCTGTCAAAGTCCGTGAGAAAAGGAACAATAAATACATCTGGAGAAATGCAACAGTGACTGAGAAACTAGATTCGCCCAGATCATATCTAGTTGAAACCCCAGATGGAGGACAATTTAGAAGGAATAGGAGACATTTAATTCCAGCATAAAATGTGTGAAATGACTGTCAATAATATAGTGTAGACCCAAGACTGGAAGTGAAATGGAAATATCCATATTTGCAATGAAGGTCAAGGATAGACCAAATTAGCATATCAAAATAAACATTGTAGTAAGACTGTAGTAAACTCTTAGGTCAAGAACCTCATTAGCATGTAGTACAAACATATGCACTGGACATTTTATCAATGAATACTAAAGTTCATGAGACAGGTCAGATAGTTCAAATTACATGGCTAGTAAAGTTTAAATGAGCTCCCTTACAAAATATTCAGAATTAGTAATGATCATATTTCAATGAGATGACTGTTAAAAGTTTAACTTGTTTTTAAACTAAAAGAAGGGAGATGTTATGTATCTGGTTTCAGTACTGGTCATTAAGACATGTAAGATATCTGATACAAAACACAACAACATGTACTATCTAATAACTCAAAGCAGTTTATTGTTACAGTACTGAACTTCTAAGCAACTGAGTCTGTCAGTGTATCATTTCCATGAAGCATACAAGTGTCAGTTTTGCCCAGCATCTTAGAGTGTCAAATGTTAACATCCAATGTGTTTTCTTTGTAGTGAATACATGCATGTACAAAACTGTTAGTGTTTTCAGGTGATGTCCACTATAACAGGGTCTGTACCATCTCAGAATGTTCTTGTTGCTATGTCTGGAATTGCCAAAGTATTTGTTGGAGAATTAGTGGAAGAAGGTTAGTTATGAAAAATCATTATTGTACTTCTACTTAATTTGCAGGCCGTTTTAATTTGGTGGATCTGCCAAATTGCTTAAGTCCACCAAATTAAGTCACCAAAAATTCCCCAGTAATTAAATCTTCAATTTCAGTGGAGACGATAACCCCATTTAACGTGAAGTACGGCAATTGCCATGTTGCACGACAATTGACGTGAAATTATGACGCATAAGTGCGCATGTCAATAGATAATAACGGCAATTGCCGTCATGTCCGTCAAGTGACGTGCAATATTTTGCACGGCAATTGACGTGCAAACTATTATCTTGTAAAAGTTTCACATATTATCGGCAGGACAACAGGCAGTTATAAACTGGGAAACTAGTGGGTAAATCATGATCTGCATTGTATGTAATAGTTATAATCATAAACATTTGCTATTGTCCGGGTTGCATTTTGAACTAACAACTATTATCATGTGCTTACGTCAATGTTCACTCGAAATATTTATCCAACAGCAAACCGGAAGTAAACAAATGATCGAAAGAAAACTAATACATTCTGATCTAATGAGGATAGGAATTTAAATTGTTCAAAATTCATTTAAGGTAATCATCAGATCATTGTAAAGAAGGTTTAAAACTAAATCCAGCCAGAAAAAAACGAAAAAATCGGCAACACACCGAGGTCAGGAAAACACTTCCGGTCAAAAAGAAGAGGGAAAGTAGACCCCATTTTAGTGATTTCCAGTGGTCTTTTCTCGGAATTGGGGCTCACGTTGTGTTAAGAGATTGGGTCAGTACCAATTTTGTCATGAAACCCGTCGGAAAGACGATATCTATACAATTGAAGGAGTATTAGTAATTCCAATATGGCGTTTTTCTAGGATTCGTGAGAGGTAACTTTGATTAGTTCTAGCGCAAAATTCCCACATAGGATCGCGAATTCCTGCATACAAGTGCTAGATTAGATTAATTACTTGAAGAAAATGCAATAAAAAGCGTTCCATCGATCGATTTAGACTTTCCAAGAATGCAAGTTCGGTGGTGACTTCATTGGTTCGTAACATTGACAGAAAATTCACAAGATTGAACGGCATTTTTCTCCACAATTTTGGAATGGAATACTTCCCTGGGATTTAATATATCATTAATGTTTACCAAAGTATATGTACTATAAAAGATATATTACTTAGATTGTATATATATTAAACACTAGGTCTTCTAATTAACCTGGTGTTTAAATTATGAATTACAATGGACATTATGCTTATTGGCGTGATTCACGTCAATTGACGTGCAAAATGGCAATCTCCGTGTTACACGTTAAATGGGGTTATCGTCTCCACTGAATTTGAGAAGTATGATCTAGTATCAGAGTATGGTCAGATGTGTCTTTGGAGAAATACAAGTGCATTATTTCATGATCATCACATCCTAAATAACCATAGACCAAGGGAACTCTAGAATGGTTTATAAAAATAAATTATTTTAAAGGTCATTTAAAGTCATCAGAGGTCATTCAATTTACATATCATCAACTTTCCATTGTCAACTTTCATTTGTTGACTTTCTTTTGCACCAGAATCCTTCCTAGTGGGATATGCCATGCTTTGGTATTGCTTTTCAATATAGCAAGTAGCGTCAAATTAAGTAGAAGTACAGTACATTGTATATCTTTATCCTCTGTACTGCATACCTTCAAAAAGCAAGTCTTATCATTTTCATATCGTCAATAATGACTTTTTCATATGTGATTCAGATAATCATAAACATGTAATAACTGTCAAGTGGAACACATCCTGTAATTGGAACACCTCCATATACAGGGTGGGCCAAAAAAAACCACCCCCTTAGCCAATATTTCTGATAAATATTCAATTTTGAACATGCACCCCAACAATGATATATCATTTTAAAGATAATTTAATCTGCAACAAAATGATATATAATAGAACAATTTTCAACAACTCTGGCTCGAGATATAATCATTTATGTGACATGGGGGTCAAAAAACACCTTTTCAATTTTCATCGATTTTGGGGAACAATTGCCTATTTCTACCAAATTTTAGTAAATTACACGATTGTCATGAGTCTTTCATAATTGGATATTATATATTGTTTTCATTCAGTTTTTGAACCTTGCATGCTCAATATACATGTGTATGCTTATAAAACTAATCCATTTCTTCTTCAGTCTGTCCAAATATGGCTCAATAGACTCACCCCCGGACCCAACTTCTGATTTGATTTCTCGCTTAAACGCGAAAGCCATTGGTATAATTGATGGACCTCTGCAGAAGTACCATCCAACACCTAATTATTCATTCTTTCAGTATGTCTACACCCCTGATGGGCTGGGGATCTCCATAGGCCAACTGTTCTAAATGCCCCAAGTACTATACATGTAATCAAAAGGCTATACTCTATATCAGTAAGCAAAAATAGTGACATTTGCAATAAAAGGCTACTCAAATCGAGATGACATTTTTCTGAAATGTAGGTGGTGTCCACTTGGTGTTTCCCAAAAAGGAAAAACCATACAGGCCCTGTTTTTTGAACCAGGAGCAAAAATATACTCTGATTGTTAATGACATGAGTTGGTAAAAAAGGACTCCTCAAGAATATAAAAAAAACATGTGAAAGAAATTTCATTTTTTGATAGAACAGTGCTCCATCACACAGGTCCAATGCTACCCTATAGTTTTTGGAGATTCGAAATGTCACTATCTCTAGCCCAGAAAAATGGCTTACTGGCAGTCCAGTTGCCAATAATGTTGATTACCATACCTGGGGGCATCTAGAACAGTTGGTATTTAAATATACCCAGCCTATCAGAGATGTAGAAGAACTAAAAGAAAGAATAACTAGCAGTTGAATGATACTTCCGCATACATCCATCAATTATGCCATCAACCAATGGCATCCGCGTCTTAAGTGAATAATCCAATCAGAGGATGGGTCTGGTGGGTGGGTCTATTGAGCTATTTTGGACAGACTGAAGAAGAAATGAATTAGTTTTATAAGCATACACATGTATATTGAGCATGTGTGGTTCAAAAACTGAATGAAAACAATATATAATATCCAATTATGAAAGACTCATGACAATGTTGTAATTTACTAAAATTTGGTAGAAATAGGCAATTGTTCGCAAAATCGACGAAAATTGAAAAAGCTGTTTTTTGACCCCCATGTCACATAAATGGTCATATTTCTATATGGGATTGTTGAAAGTGGTGCTATTATATATCATTTTGTTGCAAATTACATTATCTTTAATATGATATATCATTGTTGTTTTTTTTGGCCCACCCTGTATGAAGAGGGCTTTTCAAAGACTTGCAACTTATGGACTAAATGTTAAATGAAATGCTGCAAGTATATCAAATCCAAAGTGGAACACTCATTAGAGGTACCAAAGATGTTCCACTTTTACAGGATTGATTGGACATCTAAATAACATAAGTTTCTCAACTCAAAAATCTGAAACATTCTCATTAATTCAATTTTGTGATGAATTTGATGATCTTCTTTACAATACCATATCAATATCAAAGATTTGATACAGAAGGTTTGAATGCTTTTTTGTCACCAACATTTTCCATTCAGTTTACAGTTGTTTAATTTCAATACAAAGAGAGATCTTAAAAAATGATGGATCATTTCTTCATTTCCAGCAATCGAAGTGATGGAAAAATGGGGCGAGAAACCACCAATTCTACCCAAACATCTACGCGAAGCAAGTCGACTTCTGAAACAAAAACAAATTACAAACATCAACACAAACCATAAAAAAAGAATGTTTGTGTGAGCCATCTAGAGGAGATATGTGATGTGCCTGGTCCCATTATGCATTTACACTGTGTTAGCAGATATCAGTCAGATGAACTGAGTGTTTATGGGTGGCAGAAAATGTCCACCCCAAGCCATCTATAGTGGCTGATAGTGGAACTGAATTTGAAAATTTGGTAGAATGGAAATGCCACGATTGGAGCTTCATTAGAGGATAGTGAAGAGAGAGCTGTTGAGGCCTATTGTGACAAAACTGTCACTAAACTGCTGTATGGAAAACATTCACCATATATGACATTATGGTTCTTCATGCTGTACATGTACTTAAAAAAAAGAATTACAATGTACAGTGTATATTGTTTTATGACTGAGTTCAAAAGCAATAAATCTAGAAAAACTACATAGCAGTACCTTTCTTTTTTTTAATTGATTTATTTTTTGATTTCAACATTAAGGTTATCTATGACATTGCAAAGTCAGTGAACTTTTTCAGCAGAATGTAAGAGGTTAGAATTAATTCACATACCTCAAAATAAAAGCTGGAAATGTAAGATCAAATAAATTAATATATAGTGGCAGATAGACCAGAATGTAACCAGAAACCCAAAGCCTGTAAAATTCCTGTAGATGCCTGCTCTCTTTTAGAGATGAGAAGTCCAATTCTTCATAAAGGGTTAGGGTTTCCAGAATCCATATTAGAAATTCTGAGAAGAATCAAATTTTGACAACAATTCATATAGAAACTGACTAGTACTATTTATACAATGTATATGTAAATTGTTTCCCATCAAGACAACAGTATTGGTATTATGGTTCAAATTGGTGGTCAAAATCTGCCAAATATCTGAATTTGCACATACAAAAATGTCTTCTGAAAGATTTTCAAGTCGGTTACCCCTGATCAGCTTTGCTCTTGTTTTTTAATCAATTTTAATCTCATTTACCCTGAAAGAGGGTTTCATCTACTTAATCTACTGACGTCTGCCCCTCAGGACCTTCAATGTATGTAATCTACAGTTCATTACTGTTAATCTGCGACATCCATGGCTACATCATATTCTGAAGACAGGTCATTTGGTTTTAGGTGACATCTATAGAAGAAAAGATAACTTTGTATTTAAAAACATTAACATCCGTCATTTTTAAAGAAATGTGTTTTGGAAGCTGAAATACCCATAGACTTATCGAAAGTCAATCTGAAATACCAGAGGACAGTACTTTCACCCTGGGACTTTCACTGGCATTTTGTCAGCATAAGCCCGATGAATATTTTATTTCCAGTTCCACTTTATAAGAATAAGTGTTCAAGAAACAAGAAAAGTGTCAACTACTCAGTCAACCATGTTGATTTCAGAACTCACATGACCAAATGAGATTTGTTTCCATTCTTCCATACTGCACAACTCGAAATTATGTTTCCCCGGGTTATATTTTGTAAGATCTACGTAGACCTAAAAGACTTTGTTTCGTTCAGTGTAGTGTACAATGGCAACTTCCGGTGCTACGATTTTGAAAATATTCTGTACATTTATGCTGTTTAACAGCGACTTAGCCGTGAAAACGTTTTCTAAAAAAGAGATTAGACACAATAGGTATGTCATGCTATATAATAAACCCAACATTTATACTTTGAAAATCCATAAACACATTATTCTTTTGAAATATTTTTTGAATATTTTTTCAATCAAAACAAAAATTAAAAAAACTTCTCAATCATGCAATTTTAGTTTTATTCAATTCTGAATTCAACTAGCTCTAGACTTTTGTGTCTGGGCTATTCTCTATGCAATCATTAGACAAGTTGTATGCTCAGAAATACAATAAAATGGGCCTGGATGCAATCAGATAACTCCATGCTAGGACCATAGTTCCAAGAACATGGCAAAAGATAGTTACAATATTGGAGGAATTTCCACGCCTTGAACACCTAAATGACCTGCCTCAATAGATTCCCGGGTTTTTAAGAATTCTTTTTATGTAGAGTCCATTTCACTGTTTAACTGCGTCAGTAAAAGCTAAAAAATAAGAAATCAAAATATCATTTTGCAATAATATATGGAAAAATATATTCCTATTGTACATGAATGACATTTGTATATCTTGGATTGCTTCTAGTTTGGCTTATAAAGTGTGTGGCCTCTTATATTTGGATGCTTCTCTGCCATGTTATTTTCAATAAGATTAACATGGCTGAAATTCTTCAAATTACAAGACGGCACAGGCTTATTGCACAAAAAAATAAAAAATCTTAAATATACAAATGTCATTCATGTACATTATGAATACACTTTTCCATATATTATTGCACAATGGTCTCCCAATTTCTTATTTTTGCCGTTCTACTGACGCAATGAAGCAGTGAAATGGACTCTAGTTGGATCCCCAATCTTATGGGGATCGGCAGAACGAGGAAATTTCCCTTTTTCATCGCAAATGGAGAAAAATCTCACCTCTTTTGAAGATGGTGTTGGGCTTTAGAAGGGGAATCCCCATTTTAACATCCCAGTCTGGAGCTGTAGAGCACAGATGTACCAATAGATGGAGGAATTTTGATGGTTGAACACAATAATTGCTTTCAAAAATGAAAATTTCTTCATTCATAAAAATAATTTTTAGATACTTGGGAATTTATTGAGGTAAGTCATTTTAGTGCATGAGCAAGTAATATAATTATATGAATAATCTATTGGGATGTTCTCGGCACCATTGTCCTAGCACCAGATAACAATCAGACACCTACAGAGCATGGTTGTAAAATATGAAACTTTTTGGAAAAATGAAGTTCATTATTTTTCAAAATATAAATGTAATTTATTCGATGAGCTGGTCATTCACTAATATTGATAGATTGCTATTGTTGTTGCTAATTGTCCCAGGGGGTGGGGATAGTGGGTACTCCCATATTTTGCCTACGTATGGGGACATACTGCTAAAGTGGGTCACTTTTCACTGAAAAATCCCTAGATGTAGGTCCTATTATGAAGAAAAAACCCTTGATAATTTGGGTCCCATTTTGACAAAAAATCCTTAGAACTTGTTCCACTTTTTGAAAATCCTAAAACTCTGTATTGTTCTTGAAAAAACTTACTGGAATTGGGTCTTGTTTTTGAAATTCACCTCTAAGTGGGTATTTTTGAAAGAAAAACCCTAGATGTGGGTCCATTTTTAGAGAAAAAAATCCCTAGAGGTGGTTGGATATTTTGAATCTCAGTGGCACCTTGGAGAAAAAGTTGACCTGAGTACCCCCGCCCCCTCAGAATTATCATGACAATGTTAAATTTTGCAAAGGGCCTTTTTTGACTGTATACTTCAATTCAGCTATGGTCAGCTATGCTCCCGATCTGCATTCAAATCTGCACCCGTCCATGATTCAGGCATGCTCATCTTAACATTCTCTAATTTTTTCAGATATTCTAGAGTTTATAATGTTTGTTACAGGGATCGTGTGTCACGAATGTTTCATTATGCATATGATGGTTACATGAAGTATGCCTACCCATATGATGAACTACAGCCTCTTACATGTGATGGCCATGACACTTGGGGAAAGTAAGTTATATTGTTTCTTCTTGGAATTATTACATGCACACTCATAGAAACTTCTACTTCTTTCAATTTTGTTATACCTGTTAGTTATTTCAATTAAAAATAAACAAATTGCTTTCAACAAATTGCTTTCAATAAAATGAGAAATATCACATAAAATTTTATAGATTTTCTAATAAATACAAACGCATTTTTGAAAGACAATGGTATTTCATGTTCTTCAGATTATTTCAACTCATATTCATTTTATAACACATTGATCAAATTTGCAGGTATTCCTTGACTCTAATTGATGCCTTGGATACACTGGCTATAATGGGGAACTACTCAGAGTTCAGAAAGGTTGCTGACTTGGTGATAAAGAATGCTAACTTTGATGTTGATATGAATGTTTCAGTTTTTGAAACTAATATCAGAAGTAAGTACAATAGTATGTTAAATTCCTTCACTGAAAACAATCTCACTATCCGTAATGAATATTTTATTGATTGGTCAAAAATGTAAGAGAGGAAATCTAAACTTAGTTGCCTATATTTTATTTTAGTAAGGATGTCAATAAATTCATAAATTCATATCCAGATATAGATACAGATCTATGAATGTAATTCAATTTCAAGTTTTTTCCTTCCTCTTTGCTCTCACTGTCTCTTACACAGCCATTGATGGGGGGGGGGGGTAATTTCTATACACTTTAAGTTCAAGAGGTTAAACTGGGGGTTACCTGACATTCTGTATCTAGTCGGATGAGACATTTCATAAAATGAATTATTGGATTTTGTAATTGCCAGTTGTTGGGGGCTTGGTTTCTGCTCATCTGATGTCCAAAAAGGCAGGGATAGAACTGGAAGATGGCTGGCCATGTTCGGGACCATTGCTAAACCTTGCTGAGAATGTGGCTAGAAGATTACTTCCAGGTATTGTGCCTCCAATTTAAACAATTAAAATGCAACATATAAGTGGATATAGCTTTGATAGCACCTGCTATGCCATAATGAGATATTGTTCTGATTGATTAAATAGTGACAAGAGAGTTATGGACAATTCAAAAGTTTCAGTTTAGTTTTGAACATTTTAATTGTGACCAACATTTACGTTTCAGCATTTCAAACTAAAACAGGAATGCCATATGGTACAGTTAACTTCCGCTATGGGGTTCCCAAAGGCGAAACCACCGTAACTTCCACAGCTGGAGTAGGTACGTTTATCGTTGAATTTGGGGCCCTCTCTAAGCTAACAGGGGATCCTGTATTCCTGGATACGGCACTGAGGGCGCTGAAAGCACTCTGGAACACCAAGTCTATTCTTGGCCTGGTAAATATAGCTAATATGACATGTGTAATCTTTGAGAGAATAATTTATTATGGTGGTGTCTTAAAATAGAGTGAAATCTGAATGATCAATAACAAATGAAGTAAATAGATTCATAGACAAAATTATATAGAAATACAACAAGTCAGTTATGGTTCATTCAAATTTTAGAGAGGCAAGACATTGAAAAAGCATGGTGAGAGAATAAATCCTAACATTGCTGTCCCAAATATAAAGTAGATGCAATATTCTCATTTTCACAGTTCTGGTCAAAATATGCCAATTTCCCATGATTTTCCAAGTGGGTACAATTGGGATTTCAAGGTTGTGCAAGTCTATTTGCAAAATCTCAAATGGGTGCAGAACCTACTTGTTTCATTGCTGAGAAGATCACAACTTTTGTAAACAGGATATTAATGTAGCATGTTATGTTCATTGGATAAGCAATATCACATTTGGTATAATAGACACTGCAGTTGCAGTAACGCTCAAGTAACATAAAAGTAAAAACACTTTCAACATGGTTAAATGAAATCTGTTCATAGAAAAGTATTTTTACTGAGAACTGTTATTATTTTCTTCACAAACATTATAATGAATCATATTTTATCAGGTTGGTAATCATATAGATGTTGCCACTGGGAAATGGACAGCGCTTGATGCAGGGATAGGGGGTCAAGTTGATTCATATTTTGAATACCTTGTTAAAGGTGCAATACTCTTCAAAATCCCAGAGCTTATGACCATGTTTAAAGGTAAGTTCTTCTTACACACACTCATAATGTATTTTCTCAATCAAAGATGTCCAGTAAAATGCAAATGGAATACCTCTCTGTAAGGAACATCCCTCCAAATGGAACAGTTCTTCAAAGATCTCAATTATGTACATATTACTAATGCCCCCTCTCTGAAAGGAACACTTCACCACAAAGAACAATTCTGCCAGTACAAAGAGTGTTCCATTGACATGTATGTTTTACTGTGCGAGTCAAATGAAACCTTTGGTAGTCAGAAAGATTATAACTTTTAATTTGAATTATTTTGCATTATAACTTTGTCTGTTTCTTGTTCTTAATATGGCCTTGTGTTTGTAACATACTGTTCACATAGAGCTCTGTATGCATATCACAAAACACAAAATCCATGATTTTCTTGCTTTGCAGGTTATGATATTGCTATTGAAAAGTATCTGAAGAGAGATGATTGGTACATGTGGGCACATATGACAAAGGGTACTATCTCTCTCCCAATTTTTCAGTCCCTGGATGGCTATTGGCCAGGATTGCAGGTAATGAATCAAATTATCAAAAGCTTCAATACATCAGGTTTTGATTGCACAGTTTATAAATGAGCTTTGATCTTCCCAACATTAAAGGAAAGCAATGGGGTGCTGCACCCATCTTGATTGGTTGGAGATTGATTGGTCATCTACTCAATGGTAGATTCTTTCCTAATATATGAAGATAAAACTTAAATTGCTGGATGGAACAAATGAGATACCATAACATAGAAATGAGAACTTGCATACTACTGTATGTTTTTTATCAACATATTATCGTTGTTTGGGTTGGCAAGATGCTTGGTAAGCAAGATAATGGCCTTACCAAACAAACTACAATTATTTTACTTAAAATATAAATACATTTTCAATTTAATTTCAAGTTTGCTCCACTGCTGATTGTAATTATCAAGTTACTTGTGATGCTGAATGACTGGTATTCTCATTTGCTATTGGAAAAACATATTTGTTGACCATTTTGTTTCACTTGCTTTACATCTTGATTTCAGAGTCTTATTGGAGACATAGAGAAAGGTATGAAGACAATACTGAACTATCACCAAGTTTGGAGGCAATATGGGGCTTTGCCAGAGTTCTATAGTATTACCAAGGGGGAGGCCCATGCCACTAGGGAAGGCTACCCATTGAGACCAGGTATATTGATTTCTAATAAAGTATCTTATGAGTTATTTTAAAACATGATATGAAGTAAATCTTGTTCATATAAAAGTATTGATGTATTGATATGATTTTGATAGACCTTAGAAGAGAATTATAAAATAAATTAAGTTCTCATGTAAAATATTTGTTTTACCCCCAAGAATGGTGAATGTACATGTTTGAAAATATTAGAGATAAAATTTGGGTGGATTTCATGATCAGAGTTGGAGACTCAGTCACTTTAAGTAAACTCCTAATCTTTATTTTTCAGAGATGATAGAGAGTGCCATGTATTTGTACCAAGCCACCAAGGACCCTCTACTCTTGCAGCTTGGTGTAGATGTGTTAGAATCAATAGAGCAGGTCACCAAAACATCATGTGGATATGCTACTGTAAGATATCTCCTATGATCAGTTGATAGCTAACTAAAAAATCATGCTATGGTTGTGCAGTTCTTCAAAATTGAAGCAACTACACATCACACTAGTTGAAGATCTATTTGCACCTACTTGAAAACTTCATGATTTAGGATTTTGATACAGTTTCCATTTAGGCTGGGAAAGATCTTAGAAATCAAGAGGTGATAACTGATAATCTGTATCTGTTGTACACACTCTGTGGTATTACATATCAAAAATAAAACTATAAAATATTAAATGAAAATAATTGATTGTACAATATAAAAACTCATACTATACGTTCATTTTTGCAGATCAAGAATGTTCGGGACCACACTCTTGACAACAGGATGGAGTCATTCTTCCTTGCAGAGACCACCAAATATCTCTACCTGCTGTTTGACCATGACAACTTTATTCACAACACTGGGGGCCATGGGGATGTAATCAACACACCCAATGGTGAATGCATCATAAATGCAGGGGGGTATGTATTTAACACTGAAGCCCACCCTATTGATCCTGCAGCCCTGTATTGCTGTAGCGCTGAAAAGAAGGAGCAAGATAAACTCCTTCAGGAGATGCATGATGAAATGGATCTCCTTGAGCTACTGGAATTAACTGATAGCGCAGCTTTGGAAAAGGATAAGGATAAACGCAGCATGGAAGATAGGCTCCGTGATATCATTGGTGCATATGGATTTGATGATGATTATGCCAATTTTGATGATGATGAGGATGTGCTTGATGGTGCTGACCTTGTTGATGATGAGGAAGAAAATATTAATGATGAAGCAGAGGATATTGATGCAACTCTGAATCTATACAACAAAATTGTTAAAAATGTGAAATCAGATCAGATTTTCAAATTTAAAATTCAGGACGGAAATTTTCAAACTGTTACAATAGATAAACTAAAAACTGATGACGCAGTCACTGATTCTCCACTTAATGATAATTCTAATAAAAATGGAGATTCAGTGGGTAGTAAAGACTTAGATAACGAGAAAGCAGAAGAAAAGAGAAAACAAGATGGAAGTATTGATAAAAAACATACAGCAATAGACACTAGTGCAATAAAACAGGGTGTGACAATTGATGATTTAAAATCAAAAATAACGAAAATTATAGAAGATGCTAAAATTGTATCACCCAAAGAATCAGAGACACCTACCAGTGCTATAAAACCTGATGCTGACACTTCTACTATAGTAAACTCTAATTCTAAACAAGCTCAAAGTAATCCATTCCAAGATATATCAAGTTTAATGAGCGATATGCTTCAACAATTGAAAAAGCTATCTGAAAGAGACAAAACGCGAGAAATGCCAGAAATATTTACCTGTCCTGCTCAGCCGTTCCATTCTAGGTTTTCTGTTGGTGGAGAAATGTTCTTTGAAGAGTAACTAACTGCAGATATGTTATAATGTTTTAATCTTGAGAAACATTTTTTGCTTGTGAGTGTTTGTGTTCATTCTGTATGCCTGGTTTCTAAAAACTGTATATTAAACATGAATTTATTTATATGTATTATGTTGCTGAGTAAAGGCTACTGTGTATTGCTTTTTTGTATAGTAAAACCTGTCTTAGTGAACATATCTCTCTAGTGAACACCTGTCTCTGGTGGACACTCTTCCTCCGCACGTTCTCTACTGACATCTGTATAAATTACCCTCAGTCTTTGTAGTGAACACCTTCCAACACTGAACCTTTTTTTCTCTGAAAAAATGTTCAATTTACACAGGTTTTTCTGTATATGACATTGACAAAGAATAATTTAATTTTTATATATGCATGTAATATAATTACATTGATGTCACATTTCCTATTATTGGGTAAAAAGAAGCTTCATAGTCTTGTTGAATTTTTTGTGTGATGTGATCCATTCTCAATAGGGGGTCATCTTTTCATGGATGCAAATATAATCGTCTGTGCAATGTCAATATGATTTGAATTATATGATTTAGTACTTTTTGAAATAAAATAACAAATCCAAAAAATGAACAATGTGAATAATTTGTCACAGATACAATGATATGTAAGGAGTTTTCAAAAATTCTCTTAGTCCATAATCAAATGAGCAAGCCAAAATGAATTAGGTATACAGAGAACATCAAAGATACACTGATTGACCAATCGCATCATTCTCAAATGGATTTAAGTCTACAAAGACACAATGAATGCGAAGATCTATTTATCTATTTCTTATCAGCAATATGACATAGTCATTTTAGCAAATAGGTACAACACACAATTTTTAAAATATAGTGTGGTAAGATATCTTAGGAGCAGTCAAAATGGAAAATCATACTCAAATTATTTGCAGGGCCATTTGAATATAGTCATTCACGTACCAATATGAAACATCACTTATCTCAATTGATATCTTATCTTAGGCTGCATTGAACACCATCTATACAAGAAAATTCCATCAAAATTTAGAAAATTGCATTTTTGGAGTCACCCTGTATAAGTTGAAAAGGGGCTGTCATATCAATATTTAAAGAAGCATAAAGCACAAAATAAAATAGAAACTGTAATTATTGTTTATCACAAATTTATTTGTAGTTACAAAATATACAAATGTGCTGCAAAAAATACATATACATTTTAAAATTTATATTTTAACTATTTTCCTGCTTCATTCTTTCTATCACAATTATCTGCTCACAATCTCCATTTGTTGTGCCTATTTCCTTCAGTTCAGTTGACCATTAACAGCATTTCAAAAATACTACTTCAAGGTTCAGAATTGTTATTTTTTTTATTCCTAAACCCTTATGTCCAACACAGAGATAAAACAAAAATATTTTTTCATCAAAAAAATGAAAAGTTGACATACATATGATAAAAATGGATCTCCATTCACTTAATACATAGTAAATGTAAGTTTTATTTGTAATGTTATGACAATTTCTTACTTTGACTTAAAAAATGTTTTTGAAATTCACAGCAAACACCATTAAAGAATTTTTCAAAATTGCAATTTTGCCTCAAAGTAGTTCTGATAAATCCTGATTTGTTTTCATAACACACTGCTCTTCATCTTGATACTTCAATGTACTGTCAAATTAACAACATGAATGTCCATCGATGTTCTCGATTTACACCTATAAATAGGTACAGGTCAAAGTACTAGCTAGGCTTTAAGCCGAAACGAAGATTAAAAAAATAATATGCTTTTTATTACATTTTAGTGTGATATTTGTGCATTTTACACATTTCAGTGAGTTTAATAAAATAATCTAAAAAACAATTATAACAAGTAGTTTCAACATTTAGTGATTTTGCAATTTTAGGATTTATCTTGCCAGGAATCAGTTTTCAAATTTTTCATGAATATTTGCCAAATTTTATGAATGTCAAACTACCTGTTTTACAGTTAATATAAGTGCAACTTATACGTATGACATCTTAACTCCCATAATACAACTTGCTTTCTGTATCCTAGCAACAGTTTTGCTACAAGTATGTGTTTATTATGTACACTAATATGTGTATTTTTGTACAATAATCTGTACATGTTATCAGTAACAAGGTTGATTATGGATTGCAGATGATTTCTAACTAGGATAATAGACCTTTCCAATATTAACTCTGCCATCGGTTGCTACATCAAAGAAGTTAGGATATTAGAATACTAAAATTGGCAAGATTTCAGATGTCATAGGTTGAATTTGTTAATAAAATCGCTACAACTGTGAACATCATGAATCTGAGTGAAATATTTCAGATCTCAATGTATGATTTATTCAATAGACGACAACTGTACTATACACAATTTATAATAGGCTGTACTATAATTCACTAAAATAGTTAAAATTTTGTCCATCTATTTTCTCCTTTAAATTTTCATCCTTCAATTTTGCTATCAAAATAAACTTCTCATTTAACATATTGAATCTTTCAAACTAAAAGTGGATTATGATGAGTAAAATAACCCTTACATAAATATCTGTACATATAATTTCAAACATAATAGGATGTTTAGTGAAAATGAATTTTGATTAACAATACTGACTAGATGATACAATGAAAGTTACAATAAAACTGACACATGTAAATATAACCTTGAACAATTGCCATGTTTTACAGTAATCAAACATTGTTCCAGAAGGCAGAAACATAACTTACATGATAACTATTTCTACATGCTGTTCATGTTCTATTAAAAATTTCAAATGATATTCTCAAATCAAGGGTCATCACATGGTCTGCAACTTTACTTAAAATTTTATTTTAAATGACATAAATATTTTGTAACCGCTGTTGATTTGGCACTCTTTAAAGTCTGTACTATGAAGTTGACAGCATTTTCTCCCAATACACACCAAACTTAGTAATTGTGTTTTTATTAAAATATAAACTAGATAAGGGCAACTCCGCGGAGTAGCAAATCCCAACGAACAAAATATCAATTACCGAATTCCAATCAATTATACTCATTACTTTGGTTAAAATTGAAAAAATTAGATTTTAGAATTGCAAATTCCTGCAAAGCAGCCATTTTGAATTTTCGGAGATACAAATCTGAAAAATAATACCATAATTGTGATCTACTCCAAAATTCCTTCAATTTGAGTATAATATAGCCATACTTTGAAGGGATCGAAAAATTATTGCGAAATCGTACATTAGACGGCCATTTTGAATTTTACGAGGCTCGAATCAGAAAAAGATACAATATTTGCAATCTACTCTTAATTGCCTTTCATTTGAGTATAATAAAGCTATACTTCAGAAAGATCTAGAAATTAGTGAAAATTTCTGTTTTCCTGTCCCCCCATACACGGTCCCTGGGGGTCAGGATGAAAAACACGGAATATATGTGAAATAGATAAATGTTGTGAATATACTACCAAAATTTCAAACAATAATATTAATTACTTTGGTTTAGAATGAAAAATTTATGATTTTTGCGAAAAAGTCCCGTCATTTTTAAAGCGGCGGCCATCTTGAAAAAAAAAGATGGACTGACTGACTGACGGACGGACGGAGGGCTTCACTATATCCCTACCGAACTTCGTTTGTTGGGATAATAAAGCTTAGCAAATATGATAAATACACTTTTTTACATAACAAACTTGCATTTTACCACCCACCCACTAATAACGATATAGATTTTTAGATTTCAGTGCAAAAATGGGAGACACTATGCCAGTTGAACAACTATAGTACAAAGTCACTGCTGTATAATTCTGTCACATCTTGAGACTTAAAAATATATTTACATTTTCAGTTATTTTCTATTTTATATATCACTGTCATATTCCTTAGTCTCTGATTGGTCCATGTCCTACACGTGACTAAAAAATAAGTAATTTTAATTTGATATATACCCGGGAGTACTTTCTTATGATTAATTAGACTTTAATAGTTTGTTTTTCCATTAATGTGAGTGAGGAAAATAACAGTGAATAATAAAACAATATTTAATCCTATTTTAGGTGAATTCCTGGGACACTTTCACAAGATGATATTTTACTAGCCCTTCAGGCTTCATTGAATATCACTTGTGAAAGATGCACAGGTATTCACCTCAATAGAATTCAATATTTGTATAATATTCTTCCCATGATATTCATTTATGCAGATCCCTGGATGACACTTATTATTTTAAGAATATGTATGTTGATGTTTCAGTGAGAAACATTCCAAATTGAATTGGTTTTAGACAATATTTGTAATTAAATTCAGTTGCATATCCCTTCTCATACAATAAGTTATCTACCATTACATTTAATTTTATACCCTGGTTTAATGAAGCATCTACCTATATTAAAAACTGTTATAATCTTTAACATTAATATTCTTCTGACATGGCACTATAATAACAAAAACATGCGGTTCTGTTGATCTCTTAGAAATGGATATTCTTTGCTAATTACTTGATTACAATAAAAGTGCTCTTAGCAGGGAATCATAAGACAATGGAGAAAATGGGTAGTATAAGTGGGAAGAGCAAGATACCTAAATCAAATGGTGTCATTGAAAATTCTGTATCATTGGCCAGTTGCATTGCATGTATTGTACTACTTAAATTTTATATGAGACTTTTCAATAAAGTTAGAATATCTTTGATTCTTTGTTTGGATGCAGTTTGAGTATTTTCCTTTAATTTTACCATTGATTATTGTCTTGTTATGTCAAATTAAACTAAAATGAAAGTACATGTAGGTTTAAACATTTTAGATCATGTCGCTGCAACACCGAGTAAAAACCTGGTTGCTAATAAACATGTCCAAAGTGTAGTCTGTTGACTCTCATGATACCAGAATGTCTTAAAATGAAAACTTTAAAAATCACCCTCATAGTTCACATCAGGTTACTGCAGTTGACACACCTTACATATGTAGTTGTATTCCCCGAGTTGTATTCTAAGCATGTGCATTTTCTTTACTTTAATCATGCGCTTTCAATTAGATCTGTGCACTAGATCATACATAGTTTTACCATGCATACAATGCACATCATCAATAATACTCATTGTAATATAAATAGAAATTGGTTGTAAGACTAAGACTAAAAATCTTTATCATCTAAATTGAAGTAATCTTTTGAAAATTCTTCAAATCCAATGAATAGTTTTCCATCATCATCAACTTTTACATTGTAAGTTATTGCAGTGATGTCACGTCCTTTAGGCGCCTTAACTTTGCCTGTTTGAAGGTCGAATCTCCAACTATGCCATGGGCACTTTACACATAGCGAGAGGTCAGGGAGGACTTCTATGTCACCCAAGTGCAAAGGTCCTCCTAAAGAGAAATACAACTATTTCTTATAATTGTTTTAATTGGAATTTATAGTGGATTAAATAGTTAAACATAACATTTTTGGCTATAGACATGATTGCCATCGTCGCTTTCCACTGGGTCTAGAGACCCAGGTAGGTAGGTAGGAGCAATGGAAAGTCGAAACCATATGAATCAAGATGCATGATTGCCTGGTCTAAAACCTGTGGTGAACCTATTTTCGAAATATGCATGAATCTTTAAAAAGCATGTTTAGACTGAGGATTGAAAAAGTTCTAAGAACTTTTAATTTTCTGGGCCAATAAAATTGTGAAGGACCTCAATTAGTGGGCCTTTTAGGGCATTACATGCCTTTTTGGACCTTTTTAGGCCTTATTATCAAAAAATGGGCCTCACATTTCTTGGGTGCGCAAAATTTCTTTTCACGTGATCGCACAATTTTTTTCCTGATTTCAGATTTGGGCCCCCCTTGTTAGCTTATGGATCCACCAGTGGTACCTCACAACCTATTTAAAGTCTTACCTAAATGAGGACATTTCTCATTGACAGCAAATACAGCATCCTTGAACCTGAACAAGGCAACCTCTGTATCGTTTGCCTTCACTATGGCCCCTGTACAACTGTCCTGTCTCTGAAGACCCTTCACCTTCTTAGTTGTCACTTTACATTTTTGTACCGCATCAGACCAGTCATACAAATCTGAAATTGACCCGATGTCGTAGTGTGTCATTCACCTCCAATTATTGGCTTTTGAATGTTGATATTTGTCAAACAAAAATTCTAAAAAGGGGGAGACATGGGGCGTGCACCCCCCCTTTTTTGGGTTCCGGAAAAACATTAGTTTTTGAGCCCAAAAATTTTGCAGGGCCTCAAAAAATGGTCCTTTTTGGGCATAGTTTGGCCTTTTTAGGCCAATTTATCAAAAAATGGACCTTAATTTTTTCAATTTTTTTTCCGTGCAAATGCGGCAATTTTTTCCGTCTCCCTCCCTTGTTAATTTCTGGATCCGCCACTGTCAAATGTCTAACATAAGGGGGTAGAGTGTCAATGTAGTTCGAAATAAGAAATATTGACCATATTTATGGCAATATATAGAATCCCACTAACTCATACAGCTAAGCACAGCATTACACTTACATTTAGGTAATGAACTGACACCAAGCACAAAAAACTGGCAATGACATAATATGAGGTTGCATAAAACTTGCAAGATAAAGTGCTCACCATAAATAAATGACACCTCCATTTCCAGACCATGGTGATTTGAGACTTCATACTTTCCAATAATGTCTAGATACACATCCCTTAATTAAGTTTTGTATATTTTACATTTTGTATACTCTCATCCACTGATGTATAGCCTCTTGAAAATTATCTTCTTTTAACATAGGAAATCCTCACTTCAGCAAAGTGTCATTTATTTATGGTGAGCACTGTAATTATGCAACTTTTAAAAATGGAGGGAAAATTTAAATGCCAAATACAATATCATTTCAAAAGATCTTTCAGTAAACATATCCTACCTTCAAACCTGAGATCTTCAACTGGAAAGTAAATTTTATCTGGTCCGTCAGTCATGTATATTATCGATGATATCAGCGATTTAAAAAGAGAACATATCACTCTGTTTTTCCTCCATGTTTGTTGACAAGGTCAATAAATGGGGGTTATTACGGGTCATGGGTCAAACCACACATAAAAATTAATCCGCAGTACAGAAGTTATCGGTTGTAGAAATTAATCGATAAGTAACTACACAATTAGTTTTTTGATCAAATGAAGTATTGTTTTGCTTAATTTTTATTGTTTGCCTCTAGAAACGTTGAAAGTTCACAACTATGATTGGAACTATATTTCAAAGCGCACGAATATATTTACTGGAAAGCGGCAAGCGGTTATTTTGAAAACAAAAAATCTGGGGCATAACCGAAAACTCGGATCAAAGTTCATTTTAAAAACGAAGTTGATAGAGTATCTAGTATATGCAGCCGTTTGTATAAATATCTCAAGAAGACATCCATATATCGAATTTATTTGTAAGTATGTTTATAATTCATATAACAGTGATTTTATTGTGTGTCATTTGAATGATGAGTCTGACAGTGACACTGGGCAGATGAAATGGGACATATTCGGGCATTAGTTCAACGTCGTTAAACTCAATAACGGCGTTCTTTAGCCGGGGCCATAAGACATGTCAGATAAGAAACGAGGCCCAGGCTAGGTCTAATGTTGTTGGACTAATTGGGCATGGGCTTTCAACTTAAAAAAAAATGATGAATGAATATATGAATATACTTTTCCATATATTATTGCACAATGGTCTCCCAATTTCTTATTTTTGCCGTTCTACTGACGAAATGAAGCAGTGAAATGGACTCTAGACACATGAACTTGTATCAACACCTGACATCGATTGGTGGCCTAACACTGGAAGAGTAATACCCAGACTATAGACTACATGTATATATACCTATCTAAGAATAGAAGCTCATTCTATCTACATCTACATCATCATAATTTCACTTATCTACCAAACTCGCATCACTGTCCAAATGTGCACATGCTATTTATTGCAAGACTTATGCGTGGCACAACTGTCACCATGTTATTAAGTGTTTTTAAGTTTCGCAAGGATCCTGCCATGACCGTGGTATTGTTATCGTAAGAGCCTGGTATAACCGTGACAATCCTATATTATATTATATTGCAAGGGCCTGTCATGACTGTGGTAATGTTAATTAAAGCCTGATAAGACCGTGACAATGTTCACATTCTTGAATGAGATTACAATTATAGTTTGTGGAAATGAATTATGAGTTAAAGTAATAGTACATGTAGTTGTAGTCTAGATTTACATATTTAAGGTAGATAATGGATGAAATTTTTCATTTAGTATTCTCATGCTACTAAATGTCACTTAATGTAACCATTGTCACGGTCATATTGTGCTTTAACATTACCACAGTCATATCAGGCTTGAACATCATTAATATGGTCATGACAGGCCTTGCAACCATTACCATGGTCTTATCAAGCTTTAACATTACCATGGTCGTGTCAGGCCTTGCAATAGTATTGTCACGGTCATATCAGGCTTAAACATTACCATGGTCATGACAGGCCATGCAATATAATATGGCATTGTCATGGTTATACCAGGCTATCACGATAACACTACCACGGTCATGGCATGCAGGATCCTTGCGAAACTTAAAAACACTTAATAACATGGTGACGGTTGTGCCAGGCATAAGTCTTGCAACAGATAGGGTCTCCAACTGTGCACTAGCTTGTCTGTAATTGTTTCAGGAGATCAACAACTTATCCATTATGGAGCATCAAACACAGCTTAACCTTACACACAGCACCAGTAGCACCAACACTCACCAGAGAACACCAATACCTAGACCTGAGGCCAGACGCCAGTTCATCAGTCCATCTGACAAATTGCAGTCCCCGTGTACTATCAGGATCAACGCATTGAAAAGGTATAAAGAGAATGTCAACATTAAAATTGAATCAAAAGAAGAAAACTTAAAATGTGTAACTTTGTGGAAAACTACACTAAACTTCTTATTTTTGCTACTTCTTGGTGCAATGTCTTCAAATTAGATGGTAAATTCATGCAATTGAATAATTCATTCACTGTTTTTATTTCAGTCGAACAAATCAGAAACTTCAAGAGCATCAAATTCCACAGTTTAAAGTACCACTTCCAGTTGACACAACCAAATCACAAGACAGTAATTTCACAACAACAAAGCTCACTGAAGCATCCGATGACAAAGAAAACACACATCAATGAGTAGAATCAATGGAAATAGATTAGGATTCTATAATCTGAGTAACCATGGTGATGGATGTAAATAAGTGCAGTGCAATTATGAAGGATTTATTCCATATACCATTTATAGTAGGCTACTGTCACACTACTATACCTTGCATTAGGTGTTCATGAGCAACCCATTTGGCTTATTAGTAATGATTATGTATTTGTTTTTATTTGTCTGTTCCTTATGAATGGTTTATCGGTTGAAAATTAGATGCTAGTAAGGCACTTTCAAAAATATATTAAACAATTCAATTAGACAAACAAAGTATCTTATGCATTTCTAGGTGTTAGGTATAGTAGTGTGACTGTATGTACACAAGAAACACATAATTTAAGAGAGTAGCTAGCCTAGTATATGTGGATGCTTTCCTTTAAATATTCTTACCCTTAAATGTATTAAACCCCTTTTTTATTTTGGTGCTGGTAGAAATAATGTCTAATTCTATACAAAAATTAAAAATTAATCTCCACTGTTAATAGATGAATTCAATGAGTGCTCATGGCCTCATATTAGCAATGTAAAGTTATATTGATTGGATTTTACATATTTTATGCAATGGACATATCTTAATGCAATAAATGTACATATATTGAAAAATATGTATTAACATGTAGGGATTCAGGGATCAAACATATATTTATGCTTTATACATGTACTATAGAAGTGTAATATCATTAGGCTATTTTTATTGTAATATATCAACAACATATATGTAGTTTATAAGCATGGACTTATAGAAATACCATGACATACAATTTCAAAATATGCAAAGAGATGTGTGCGCCTTTTACACACAATGTTTTAACAATTTAATTATGAATTCAGTTTCATGTAAAGTAATTGTAAAGTAAATCTATTTCTGTCAATGTTATTTTGGAAACACACCTTATAATATATACTTAAATATCATCGGCTAAATTGTGGAATAATATACTAGTAATGTAATAGTTTATAGAAAATGTGAAGAAGGGTTTAAACACAATGGTCATACTGTAAATTGCTTTAAATTGGCGCTGATTTGATTTTGTGATTTGTCCATTCAAATCTGCCAATTCAAATCTACCACAATCAATAAACAGTTAACTATGGTATCCTCATGATAGTTTTAACATATTCCAGAAAAATGTCCATGGAGTCATTATTCTGGAAATTATTTTACCATATCAAATAATTCAAAACAATCCAATTTACAGTATATTCACAAAACGACTACAATCTGACAATGATACCCTTACATAACAGTCATAATATTGAATATCAAATACATGTACACAAAAATGCTTATAAAATATTTACATCCTATGCCAACATTTTTTTCAAAGATCTTTGAGGGACCTAACTGTAGTGAATTAGTAATCTCACTCTGAACCTGTAATTTTTTTGGAAATGATACATTTAATATTTGTTTTCTCATCAGACCCAAATCTTCTATGATTGAAAATATGGCTAAAACAATAAACACATTTTCAAATTTTAGTTTTTTCGTTACACAAAAAACAAAACATGAACTTCCCTTTCTTATTCTAGACCAGACCTAAAATATTTTTCTGAAAATACATAATTAGGTTCCTCAGGATCTGTATGTTGTCACACCATTGACAACAGACTACACGTCGCAATATTTTATTTTTTATTGACTATCATTACATACAAAATTGATATGTAATTCCAGTTTGTTTAAGTGTGGTTCAGTTTTTCTGAATGTACAGTTCGATTTTATTAATTTATTGATACACTATGTTATGTATATTCTGATTTTCTTTACGAAATAAATAATTAAATAATAGCGTAATTATATAATTGTTGTTTTATGTTGGTGTCATTATGTCTTTGTGCTTGCATTGTTACTTCTGAAAGGAAAGAAAGATCTGAAAGAATGCACTCCAACAAAAGATAAAAGCAATTTTGTAAAATTTGTTGAAAAAACATTAACAAATCATAATTTGAAATAGTTAGAATGCACCACATACAAAGTAAATTAAAAAAATTCCAGGTATGAACCCCCTACCCCTCTTATTGGGACTCTCTTGGCTTGCAGTGATGCAAACCCAAAAGTTTGCTCCCCCTTGACATTGGCTGGCTACCCCGACCATTTTAATTTATACCCTGTTCATTTATTGTTGCAAAATAGGTGTGTAATAACAGTGACAGATCATATACATGTACTGTATTGTGTATAGTCTGTATATGGTAATGTACATGTGGTAGATCTCAATCTCTCTATCAGGGGGGTTCTGCTCTCTATATACCAACATGGTACATGGGCTTTCTGGGGTACAGCGTCATAGTTGATTAAGATTTTTGTTTTTGGGGGCATTCTTTGTTCATTGACAAATGGATAAGTCTTGATAACTCAAAACAATATACGAGATGTATTACAAAGTGTTCTAAGTTTCTCTGTGGCTGGATCTAAGGTAGAAGGCTAAAATTTGTACAATCCCGGGAGTACAACTAGAAGTGACGGTTTTCTTCCAGTGTAAACTCTGCCCGGTTACACCAAAACAAGGCGGCCATATTTTCTCAAGTTTCGAAAAAATAACACCGTTTTCATCTCTCTGTATATCGAATTTATGAATACTGAGGTGTGATTTCACAGTGCAGAGATGTAGTTGATATATCAGGGAAACTGTAGGTAGCCTAATTTATGATCTCTGGCGAAAATTTACTTCGGGACAGAGAAGAATGTCTTGGACTCCAACTCATGTTTCAGTAGCAGGTAATTTGATATAGATGAGTGTTCTTACTACAGGAAGTTGTACAAAGTGGTTATCAAAATCTAATACTTTTGGGAGTTGGGTCTTTTATGGGTGTTTGGGCGTCCTTGCATATGAGACACATCCTTTATATAGCTTACATTAAGAGTCCCAAGAAAAGTACTCCCATAAAATTATGAATATGATGGCTTTATTAGCCCATTTATGGGAGTAAAGAGGACCATGGGCTTTCAACTGAGAGGACCAAGTAGATAAATCACTTTTTTTTCACAATAGTATGTTCTGTTTGTATGAGTGTGCCTTTATATCTCATCATGATGTGAATTCCAACAACAGTAGTGAAATTACTTCTTGGGTTTACGAAATAGACCGACCACTGGTCGGTGTTTTCCACAGGTAGCCTCCAAACAGGGTTTGAGGAAAATGTGTAAAAGACAGACCATATGTGAAAAAGACCGACCATATATGTAGCCTTAAAATATTTTTGATTTTGAATACACGTCTGCGTATTCAACGTTTAAAAACAAGCAAATATATGATATGGCCATCCCTTTGACTTAATTGTCCTGCCTTGTGTAACAATGTTCCTGACCTGCCAACTTATTGTTTTTACGGGAATCTATCCTACTTTTAACTGAAATTTAACAGACCTATTTCCATAAAGAAAATAACATATTTCTAATGTATTTCTAATAAAAATGATGTGTTATCTTCATACTGATTACGAGACATGGTGTAATGCTACGTGTGTTCTCTTGCGATGATCAACCATTGGTAAGCTATATTTGTCATATTGAATGTAGTGTTTACCAGATTGACTTTTAACAACTGAGAAATGGAACATTACGTATTATTCTTAAAAAAGATTTTAAAGACTGGAAATGATAATTGCATATTTTGATATTTTCAAACTAACCATAAAGTAATGTTACGCACATTTTCTTATCATGATCCAAAGTGACTAACCATAGCGCAGTATTGGAAAGCATGGCTATTATATTGTCGTTTTGAATGTCAACTGAGAATTAAAACATTACGTTACGTATTATTTTTTAAAAAGATGACTACGCGATTTGACAGAATGCTCTTTTATTCATTCCTCGAAATTTTGTATCTATTCATATTTATGTAAAAATTGACAGCTCGCCACCGACCAAGTGGACCCCACTGTGGAGATTGACTGGTCGGTGGTCGGTCTTAACTTAACTTTTGTTGGTCACCTTGTGACTAGTATTCCACAGTCAGCTCCAGTAACAATTTTACACTTTTGTAACAAATTGCAATTATATCTTATCAAATGTTCACATTTTGTCGTGTAATGCCTTGTCTTCTTTACTTTGATATAATCTGATATAATCAAGTGATAGATTTGCTTATTATAATTTCAGTGAATCGTGCTAGAAACCTACTCCCAAAGGCGAAAGATGGAAGGAATGATGCCTTTGTCACAATTTCTTTGGGGAAAGAGAAGTTTCAAACATCCACCAAAATCAAAACTGATTTGCCCGAATGGAGGGAAGAGTGTGAGCTGTAAGTTGTCAATGCTGAATATTTTTCATATATTTCTTCAGTGATGTCCACAAGATTTTTTCTCAAGTGGGTGCAAAATTCTCATTTTCATATATCTGTCCAAAATTGGTCAAAATGTGCCAGTTTTTTATGATTTTTCTTATTTTCAAGTGGATTCAAAAGGAATAAGTGGTTGCAAGGCTTTTTTAAAGTCTCGGGTGGGTGCTGCACTCACTTGCATTAATGCTGGGAAGATCAATGATCTTACTAAAGTGCTCATCCAAGATCCCAAAATCTCAGTTAAATGTAATGACTTTAATGAACATACTACTGTATAAATTGAACAATCCTTTTATGTTATTATACCCATTGTACTTTTAGACGGATTCCAGACATGAAGTCCAGCGTGATCCTGAATGTTTACAACAGAAGTCTACTGGGGTTGGATGATTTCTTAGGTCAGGTGGCACTCCCACTCAGTGATTTCCAGCTGTATGACAGACCCAGGAGCAAGTAAGTATACTTTCAGTTGATCAATATCCTCATCATAGTCATATTCTATACTGGATTATGGATACAAATACACTGTATAATGCATAGAAAAGACTCCATTCATTTTTTGAGAATATTTTTTAAGTGAAACTGTAACTATGCCATCATAATTAATAGTCATTAAGAATGAAATCTAAAAAAAATTGTTTTTTCCAAAACATTTCACCAAAACGCAGTTTTTGCCAAATTTCTGTTTTTAGAATCATAAACATGCATTTGTATAAACCCTTTGCATTTATTTGATGTTTGCTTCTTAAAAGAGAGCTATACTAGGCAGAGGGTAGTTCAACATGACTGCATGCAATGTATTGTATAAAAACATTAATATTGTATATACATGTACTGGTACAATGATAATTTGGCAAGCCTGTGGATATAGTGTTAATGTTACCAGCTTTAAAATACCAAATAACATTATCAATTAGGAAATCCTGTCTTAAACTAACATTCCTATGTCACATTTCCAGGTGGTATTCTCTAAAAGGTAAAGCAAAGCATGCTGGTAAGAAGTCTGAGGATAAATACCGTGGTGAACTAGAAGTGAAGGTGAAATATATAGTGAAGAGCAAACCACAGAGTAACTCCAGTCTGGATAGTAGCTTGAAGAGAACATCATCTATCAAAGCATTGGCATCATCTGTGGGTGAGTTGACAACTGCCTATGGTTTAAAGTCCCTATTTGTAATTTTTGAATTCCACCTAAAGAGAATGTTGTGGTTTACATCACAACCCAATGAGGTGTGTATTAATGATTAATTTTCCTGTTAGCTCAAAATCTGCTTAGAACTATACCATTGTGGATTACTATGGGAAATTCCTCAAAGAGAAAATTCTGAGGATTAAGGAATTGGTACCATTTACACAATTTGAGATTTTGGGATTATATGGTGCAATCTTATACTCATTAAAATGTTTTAGAGTGTATTGATGTTTTTTAGATGAAAAACACAAGCGAAATGCATGAAAAAACTTCCCCGATTCATTCTACAAACAACTCACTGTCCTTTCAATTTTTTGATGCAAATCCTCACAAAGTTTTTTGTTTTTAAATCGCAAAATACAAAATCTCATTCACAAAATTTTGAAATAAGCGAACATTGGTTTTATCAGCAAGCTAATGTACATGTGTGAAGAAGGGAATAATGACAAAATGGTATGATTTAGGAAATGTTTTCTGTAACTGCTTTTGCAATTGTTCTATTGCATTTGTATTATCTCCTTTTTTCAGTATCTGTAATTCATTTGCAACATACTAGTATTCATTTATTGTTAAAATTATGAAATTTAAACTTGTTATTTGTTCAATACAGGTGAAAAGTTGAAGCATTCCCCATTGTCATCCAGTAAAGATGAGGTGCCTCAAGGAAAGAAAGATTCTCCCAGGGAGAAAAGGGATCACTCGCCACAATTTGGCAGAAAAAATACTGGAGTGGAACAAGTGAGAGATGCATGTCCCAAGGTTTGTTTAGAATTAATATGTATTATATAACTTTGGTGTGTAAAGAGGAATAGCATATACTCATACTATTATTGAAATGAGGATTATTATGTTAGTATGACAGAATTCTAAGCTATTTTACTCAGGAGGCTGTTGTTTGTAAATTCTATCTTGAACTATGATTCCTGGTACATTGCATAGACAGCATCCTAAAAGACAACTGCTTTAAACAGATTAGACAGTTGTTTGAGGAATGGCATTTAGGGTATTTTCTGACTTTTATAATATTGCGAATCAAAAATCAGTCAGTCAACCCTGCCAACATTAGCTTTTCTTTACAAAAATGTCTGTTAAGTAGTTTTGGATGAGGGATGGGTCTGGCCAATGCTTAATGCAAGTCAGAAACATTGCTTAAATATTGAAGCTCGAACTGTACAACAATGGAGAACTCCTCTCTCATTGACCAGTGTTGAGTATGTAAATGCATGAACGACAAACAAAGTCCAATCCATGCATTTGTTCAAATGTTTTTACTGAATAAAATATGTAGTGCTAATCGATTCGAAAGAAATTCACAATGGGAGATGAATGCAATGTTTTTGACCTTGATTGCTAATGGATACCCCTCAATACTAACTCAAAGACGTATGCTTTTAACTATAAAGTGCATGTCATTTTTATGTCACCACCACACATATTGTTATAGTCTCCAACTTTTTTGTAGACAGTGTTTAGCAGTCGGCATCTGTTACAAATGGCAGGTGGTGACATTTTGCATGTTAATACCTTGTTATTATCATGTACTTGGTGCCAAAATTAACACAATGGACAAATAATTTGATCATCACATTTTTTCCTTGTTTTTGGAGAAAGTCATTGATTATTATATAACATTTACAAAGCTCTAGTCTAGATCTTGAATCAATGCATTTTGACCTCACTATACCTAGACATACTAACTACTGTACTGACAATTCATCAGTCTCTTTGCTACCCATATAGACCTGCATGCATGTATACATATCTTGGGATGAAGCATATCTGGTATCATTCTTGCTTTGTCTGATTCTCAAGGCTCATAGTGAAGGGTGGCATGACATTGTAGGAAATTTTGGAAATCTGAATATTGTATTTTAAGTCAGACTACTGTATAGCCCAATCCTGGAGAGCAAATCTACCAAGAACCCCCTGTTAGAGAACATCTGGTCATAAGCTGTACGATTCCATTGTGCTAAATCCCTCATAGGAAACCCAGACTACAAACTTTTTAATACTTACTAACTGCATGATGACCCTCTGCCATGTTCTATGTTTATTGTAGGAGCCTTTGATACCCCTTGATGCAACAGGACTTGCAATTATCGCCAATAGATGGAGTGATTTCAATGATCATCTCTTCAAGGATGAGGAAGTACTCCTAGATGGCACTAGCGAGCAGTACCCATCAGAAATATGTGTATGTTACATATATTTTATTTCTATATAAAAAGAGGGACATTTTTTGTCATGTCGTTAAAGTTATATATACTCTTATGAAGTGGAATATGCTTTTTTGGCATTCTTTGCATTTAGAGTATTAGAGATTACCTGAAATTTGTTACGATAAATTACTTAAAACCACTTAAAAGACCATGGTCATATATTGGAAAGAACAGCAGGAAGTTGGTATATATAGTTGGTACATATATTTAAAATCTATCTATATTAAACATTTTAGTTTGGAAATTGATTAAAATATTTAAAAGATTTTTGCATGACTCATATTACTTACATTGCATCTCAATTCTATCCATTTTGTATTTTTACAGGTTTTACTTATGAACTCCATGCTGATGCATCCATTTACTAAACCAAAAGCTGTAGCAGTAGAATGGTTTGTTTGCTATACTAATTAACTCCCATTAAACTTTCTCATTCCCATATAATGAAGTAGTAATTATTTAACCAATTGCCTGATTATGTGCATCTTGATCCCTCCCTCTTTCAACCTTAGAGTTTTTATTGCACTAAAAAGTGCTATGTTGTCAATGTTGTGCTGCTGGGTGTGTATCTTAATGGCCATCTGGGTGCCACATCAAAATTCCAATAAAACTGTTGATCCATTACAAATTTATTATCCGTTCAACGTTCAATTTTTGCAGATGCAAGAGCAGATCAATGCCAAGATCTGATTAGGTTTTGGGCATATTGGGTGAATAATATGGTGCCCATTTTGATCTTAAAAATGCAATATTTATCACTGTGTGCCTTGTGTATGTTATCCCCATGAAGTGGTAACATGTACTTATTCTTGTGTCAGTGACTATAGCAAATTGTTGTATCTTTAAAGATGTAGTTTTTTTGTAAATTCAGTATATTCTGCTAACACCATTAGTATAGTGGCAGTTTTGATATTTTTCAAAATAAAAATCTTAAAATGAAACTAATAATTTGCACTTTTATAATAGTTTTACCATAGGCTGTGATGCCCTTTCAAATGGCGAATACAATGGCAAATAAAATTTTTATACCAAAAGTGCATACTGCATCTTGGGATCCTCTCATCTTGAAAGTCACCTGACCAGAATTGACCAATCAAAAAGCTTGATTTGTTAAAATCTGGCAAGATGAGGATGCAACACAGGTTTGCTTTAAATGTGATATGAAAATTACATAACACAAATAAATGTGAATTTTGAATGCAAATTGGAATATATGAATGCTGAGAATGGCTAATGTGAATCTTCTTAGATTGGAATATCTGTAATCTCTGAGAATAACAGTCTTGATGATATTTCAGAGTGATGAATTGAGCAACGACAATTCTGTGGACTCTGGAGATAATGAATCCCCCTTGCCTTCAGTAAGTAGACATCCGCAATCTCTATTTCTACCCAGTGTAGTTTTGTTAAGGATTTTAGACTAGCTGGATGTACTTTGTAGGCATAAAAAAGATAAAATTTACTTTTGTAATTAGGACTGGGTGATGACGTATTGTAATGGCCTTGTTGATTTTTACTTGTAGCCATCATTCACCAGAAAAGGTTCTGGATACTGGAAAAAGCGAAATATACCACAGCCAGTTGAGTCAGCTGTACCACCTAAACTTTTAGGTAAGGTACACCATATGAAAGTTCATCTCTGAACTGATATGCTTTTGGCCTCAGTGGTGCCTCAGTGATATCATGAGCAATACAGAAGCCAGGCAGGTGCTGCTAGCAGTTTTAAATTCCAAAATTATACTATTATGTCACCACCAAAAAGTGGTGACATATTGTTATGGTCTCTGATTTTTTCATGGTGGCTGGCGAGCGGTGTCTCTTACAAATTCTTACAACTTCCAATAACTTAACAAATTCTGTTTAAACTGACTTCACTTTTTTTTCAAAATCATCTACAAGTTTTCAGACGATAAAATCTGACGTTATATGTAAGATTTGACCTTCAATGACTTTCAAGGTCAAATCATCTACAGGTTCTCAAAAGTTCAAATCGAGCTATAGATTTGACCTTCAGTGACTTTCTCAAGGTCAAAAAGATTTGACCATCAATGACCTTCTAAAGGTCAAAACGGTCTTTTTTCATCTTGCTTCAAATTGACCATTTTGTTAAAAATCATCTACAAGTTCTCAGAAGTATTTCACCTTCAATGACCTCCTCAGAGTCAAAAAAGTATTTTTTCTACTATTCAAAGGACGATTCTCGGTTTGGAGAACGAAGTTCATCAATCTAAATGAGCATTATCCCTGCTTCGAACAAATTTGATATTTTCACATAATATAGATTTGAATTACTAAATGTCTTCTTTTGAATAGTCATAATTTAATTTGGGTAATATTTCTAGATTTTTCGCAAAAAGATATTAGCGCAGTACACTGATGAACTTCTTTCCCCAAATCGAGACTTGTATTTTATTGAATCGGTCTAATTGAGTGTTATCCCTGCTTCAGACCAATTTATAATTTTTACATCTTGTAGATTTAAATGTCCCCGTTTGAATATTCATAGTTTAATTTGGGTAATATTTCTATATTTTTCATGAAAAAAATTATTAGCCCAGGAGACTGTTCTCCAAACCGAGAATCGTCCTTTACCAATTTATTTTTTCAAAATCATCTACAAGTTCTCAGAAATTCAAATCTGACTTAAGATTGAACTGACAATATTGTGAGCAACTAGGTGGTGACATTTGGTCACAGGGCCACATATCAAAAAGATCTTTTAATTCATGTTATTGTTTATGTCAACCTTAAACAAACCAAATGTGAATGCAATTAGAATCTCTAATATTAATTTGAATGCTTCTTTATGTGAGCACTAAGTCAAGCCTTGAAGTGTTTGACTTTATAAGCATATTGTTTATTCTTAAACTGACAACAGATGTCTTTTTAATGCAACATTAATATTGTGTAATACAGAAGTGCCACCCATTATGAAAGTATCATCCCCAAAAGAGAAGAAGAAATGGTCATTGTACAGACCACTCTCAGGTAATACAAGTGGTTTGAATTGCATGCCTTCAGGACCTCAACTAAAAGTTATCATTTTCAGATAGAAAAATATCCATATTCCATAATATTTGTTTTTTCTGCAACCCCCAACCTCCCCTCCACCTTATCTGTTTGAATTTCCTAATTATCCCATCGAACGAAGTTCGGAGGGATATAGGGAACGCCTCCGTCCATCCGTCCGTCCGTCCGTACGTCCGTCCGTCCGGGCAATAACTCAAATACCATTGGCCCGATTTTATTCATATTTTGTACACATATACCCTATGGGAGTAGAAGTTCTGCTTGAAAGCCGATTTTCAAAATGGCCGCTCATTTAAAAATGGCGGCCATTTTAGTGCCGATTTTACAGTAATTTAGGTACAATATGTAAAACTGTAATAGCAATATGTTTTAAATGTATAAAAAGTTATTTAGGACATTAATAAAGCTAGAAATGTAGATATTAAAAAAGCACATGGCAGCCATCTTGAAAAATGGCGACCTTTACTCGTTATTTTACGATTTTTGCTGTAACTCGAAAAGTAGTGGAGCGATTTTGTTCATATTTGGTATGTGAATACTATAAGCATGGCACACTGTCTAATGACACTTTTGGTACAAGGCGGCCATTTTGAAAAGGCGGCCATTTTTCAAAATGGCCGCCATTTTAATGTATTTTACTATAACTCGAAAAGTAGTGGAGCGATTTTGTTCATATTTGGTATGTGAATACGTATAAGCATGGCACACTGTCTAATGACACTTTTGGTAGAAGGCGGCCATTTTTCAAAATGGCCGCCATTTTAATGTATTTTACTATAACTCGAAAAGTAGTGGAGCGATTTTGTTCATATTTAGTATGTGAATTCTATAAGCATGGCACACTGTCGAATGAGACTTTTGGTAGAAGGCGGCCATTTTTCAAAATGGCCACCATTTTAACGTATTTTACTATAACTCGAAAAGTAGTAGAGCGATTTTGTTCATATTTGGTATGTGAATATTATAAGCATGGCACACTGTCTTATGACACTTTTGGTAGAAGGTGCCCATTTTGAAAAATGTTCGATGGGATTCGCTACGCTTTGGCGTTGCCGTTGTTCTGGTTTTATTTCCTAACCCATGTCTTATTTTGCTCCTTAAACAATTTATTTCATTTTATTGACCTTAAACCTTAGTAGTAATTGAACCATCAATAACCTACTCTACAATACAAACACTTGTTAAAATAATCAATTAACCAAATCTTCTTATGTTCAATGTTACAACATTAACTATTGGTCTCCCCATTGTGCACACTTAGTCATTCTTTTAATGCTATTAATAATCATTAAATCAAAGTATTTTTCAATGAGCAGTCCAAATAGGTTAACACAGCCAATGTATGCATATACAGGGCTTCCATAAAGTTCTTGCAAAAGTACTCTAATTTTTTGGTTTCTCAGTCAATTTTGCTGTAGTATCGGGAGTAACAAGAACTTTATGAATGCCCTATAAACAGAGTGTTCCTTGCTTTTTACATTCTTCCTCTATATTACCAGTGTTCTACCTGGCTTCTTTTTGCAACCAGTTGTATTATTCAATCATCTGCCCATCCATGCATTCCCCTATGCACGCATTCGTTCATATATCATATGTATATTTCATTTGAGTATGTATTTATTCACTCATTCAATGTTGCATTTATTCAGTTATTTTCTCAACAAACAAAGTTTGATAGGAGTATAGTGAAGCCCTCTGTCCATCCGTCTGTCAGTCAATCTGTAGATTTATCAGTGGGCAAGTATGGGGCATTGAGAAAACAGGCATTTCCAAAGTATAGCTTTATTGTACTCATAGGAAAGGTATTTTAGAGTAGATTGCAGATATTGCATTATTAAACATACTTCAGTATTTGGGAAACAATATTTTGTTCATTGAAATTTGCTCTTCCTTGCAGTTGCCATTTTCTGGTTCATTCATGTTGAGTTATTAATAATGGTAAAAATTGTTAATATATTGGTATATGTTTTACAGGTAATGATGTGTCTGGAGGTTCACTGACCAATGTAACAGAGGGCCAGGAATCTGTGTTCTCTCCAGGCTCACCCAAAGAGCCCACCATCCTCATACCCCCAGCCAACAGAGGGGAGGGGGAAACTGATCAGACCAGTAAAGTTATCTTGAGAAAGAATAAAGAAAGACTAAGGAGATTTAAAGAAGGTGAGATTTACACGCTAGTTAAACCACTTTGGCTAATATAGTAGTCTTACCCAATAATATGTGAAACTTTTTTTTTAATTTCAAATTTTTTGAAAGACAAAATTGTGAATTTATTTAATACTAGCTTTTAGAGGTCACACGTATCACCCTCATGTGATTTTTGCCAAAAAATAAGAAAATTGGTTCATAAATAAGTGAGAAAAGAACTCATCCATGCATTAAAATTGTTCAGATAAAGATCAATTTCAAAATTTTTGTATTGGTGTTAAAAGATTAAAAAATTCCTACTTTTCTTTGAAAAATGGCAGAAAATTTGAATATTTGAGAAATGAAAAGCTTTAAATATTTTTTTTTCCCAAAAATATCTAAAATAAGTCATGACAAAAATAATTAATGAATGATATAAACATATTTTCCCACAGTTTGATTTGTGAATTTTATATGTCACATTTGAATTATTGTTTCATTCTTCAATTTGCTTCAAATTGAACTTATCAATTTTTAAATATTCCCTGTCCTAAGTCCTCCAGGCCTCAATAATGTTGCTTACAATTTTGATATTTAGTTTATGTTGAAATAATTTCATGGTTTGTATTCCAGGGCGCCCAAGGAGACATACATTGACAGATGGTGTTATGTCTAAGTCTGCTGAGATTATCATACCACGTGACTATGAAGCGTTCCAGACCAAGCAAGCTGACAGTGATCTACCAGATGAATACATGGATCAGTATAAAGATATGACACATGAGGTAGGTCTAATTGGTGTTCATAGGTGCTTTGGGTGTTCCTAGGTGCTAGACTATTGGTGTTTTAAAGGGTGACGCATATCGTTTAGCAAATCGAACGCTCGTTTCTGGTGTTGCTCACCGTTTAGTATAAAAGGCCCGATCCCGGAATAATACTCAAGGGTTCACAGGTTCGAGGTTGTTGTGTCAACACCTCTAACTGTTATATAGCATAAGTATATTGTAGATCGTCACACAATTATAAAAGGGTGATTTTTATTTTGACAAATCAATTCCACATTTATGGGTGAAGTTTCAGGATCTTCTATTTGTGTATAATAAGGAAAAATTGGCATCTAAACTTCCCCATAACGTAATAGCACACAGCTTGGCATATAAAATATCCTACAAATGAAACAAAGCAAGACAAACCGGTTTCTAATACAAGGATTTATATTGGCTGTTGTACATGTATTCTTTGAACGCAATTACTCTTTGGATAACGTTTTCAAAATCATTATAAACGGATTACTTTATCTCAAAGACAATTTCAATAAACTGGATTTTACTGAACTCCCCTTATTTCTTAAAAATGGACTGATCCAGTTAATTCGCCTGGAGCCGCCATATTGTTTTTATACGGGATGCTAATCGAAACCCTTTAAGGTGCTATTGGTGTTTAAAGGTGATTTTCTTGTTTGTAAGTGTTTCTGTTGTGTATTGGTGTTCATAGGTACTTCTGGTGCTTCTGAGTGCTTAATTGTGTTTTTATTGAGGTATTCTGCCCAGTCCATGGAAACATCATTGGCTCACAAGAAATTGAAATATTTGAGGTGGAAAGCTGTAAACATCAAAATGAGCTGTTAATATCACTTGATAGCAAAACCCATCGCTATCATTAGATGGAAGCACTGTACAATCTTGAATCAATTTATGTGTATTTGGAGTTATTCTATGGGGTCTTACTGTATTTACATTGCATATTTCACAGATGGCAGCACCTGTTTTGTAAACAAACTGAAGGTGAAAACAACATGGCCACATTTTCTGAACAAAATAGCTCCCAGCAAAACTAATTTGTCATTTATTGGTTATTTTTATCGACTTTGTTCCATTACAATGTCGCCTTCAGCATTGTTTACTATTTGTCAATGAACTGATTTCATCTGGTATTATGTGCATTTAACTTAAAATTTAGATGTGCTGGTCATGTTTAGTATTTAAAGTAAACACTGAACTGAACATGTTGAAACTTGTGTCATGTTCTTGATCATTTGTACATACTTTATTTTAAACTAAATGCGCACAAGTAGAGCCAAAGTTCTAAAGCAAATCAGATATTCAATTGTAATTTAATGAATATCAATAACCTGCAATGCTGCATGTTTTCATGTATTAGAAATCATGATTGTTGATTTTATTAATCATAAAGATAAGAAGCTTGATCAGTCATATTATTTCCAAGCTGGCAGTTTACCACCTATTTAAGGCAATGATGCATCATTCCAAAAAGGTTTCATGTTTCAGGGAATTTACAAATTCAAACATTTCATCATCATTTTTTTAAATGAACATTTGAGTCAGACATTGTTATTGTATTAAAACATCTGTCGCACAGGATGTGGGATAGGCTTGTGTTTGTAAACATTGCATTCATCATGTATTGATCGCATAATCAATGTGATCATACGATGCAAAGAACATGTGAGCAACGGTCAAGGACATAGTTGTTATTATTTTATGCTATAGCATGCACTTAATTTTATTACATATAAACTTTTCAGGCTATGCATAACATTGCATGCTGTATACACCAAACCTTTCAGTGTACTTATATGTATACTGTATACAATGAGCCTTTCATTGTACACACACTGTATACAATGAGCCTTTCATTGTGTGAACACTGTATACAATGCACATTAAGACTTATCCATCAAATTTTTATTAAACATCAGTATTTCTGACCCATTTGATAAAGCTTGCATGTATGTACATATTATGTTTATAGAAGTGGAAGTATGTTAATGCGCCATTTATGACATTGGCAGATATACAAGAAATAAGTAATCAGTTGGCAAAAAGTCATTATTGAATGCATATTATTTAGTCGTTGTGAATCAAATCAAAATGATATATTCTAGATTGAAAGTGGTGGATAAGATACCTTGCTGAGGGTTTTCAATGCTATTATCATTTTCAAATATTACCCTTTGTGATTTGATCAAGCACACTTTAAAACATTGACTGATTGTGAACAAGTTCATTGAAAGACCGTTATTTCAAAATAAACTTCCTATAAATCATTCAAATTCATAACAGCCTAATCAGTCAATGACTACTGGCAAAACAAATGCTGGTTCACAATGTTTATCTTTTAACCGGCTTCTAATCAACATTTAACAGTGTGGCAGGTACATCTAGTATGTTGCGTAGAATAGTAAACAAAGTCAGGGCTACCAATCAACAACATCTGATTGTCATATTAGTTAGAATCTTGGCGTTTAAGATGGAATGGGTGGTGGTACTCATATACATTTAAAAAAAAATCCTCAGACATATGGACCTTTTATTTTAAATATTAATAGTCCAATTGCCAGATTCGAACATATTATAGTATAGGAACATACATGCATGTCACCAAACAAGTGCTACATCTCCCTCTTCTTCAGTAATTTTATCCTCCATCCCAAGAAAGAAGAAAATTCTAAATGAAGTAGGACATGCTGTACACAGGATGCCTGTCTACTCTTCAACGATAAACTTTGGACTTACACGAAAAGATAAAGAATGGCATGATGTTTTTTTACATCTTGTGTTAAGAGTCATTGTTATGTTATCATTGGCATACTTATGTATGTCTATATTATTTGCCCAATTTTACAAAACATGATTAATCGGTTGAGTAATAATTGCACCAGACTCTATGGTCCATTCGTGCAATCATCATTATTTTTGTACTTTGAACACACCCTCATACCTGCAATACTAAAAGAATTATTTCTCTAACATGCCATCTCCAGTTTTTTGTAAGGGGGCTTGAATCCCTCCAAGCACCCTCCCGCCTGCAATAACACCTTTTGTATTGTAAAGGGCAGTGGGTGATCTGGAAGCTAACAAGGGGGACCCACATTTCAAATTTTGGCCCCTCAGAAGAAATTGGGCCCAAATTTTGAAAATTTATGGCCCATTTTTTGATAATTTTGGCCAAAATTAAAAAATTAGACCTAAAAAGGCCAAGTAATGCCCAAAGAGGCCCACTAATGAGTTATGAAGCCCTACTAATTTTTTCTGGGCCCATCCTAGGGAATGGATCTGCCAGTGAAGGGTATATTTGACAAAACACAAAGGGCGATCCTAAACAACCATAGAGGAAGGGGCACAAAAATGTCTGCGCCTGCGCAGAGAGAAAAAATTGGGTCTGTATTTCGAGCTTGGAGGGCTCGTACGAACTCCCCTCCCTGGCTACGGGCCTGTCAAATGAGACAACTCCTCTCAAAAACTTATTAATAACTACAGATAAGTGCTTGTTATAGCACTATTACAATTGATATCCATGATAACTCTGCAATCCAAATTCTTAGTCTTCTATTTCCTACTGAAGTTGCTTTCTTACTTTAATAGGGTATCACAATTGGGGCATATTTTATCAATTAAATCAATGAAGCTAGTACATTCTAGAACTCTGCAAAAAATGCAAGCACATTAAAGTGCCATAAATATCAAAATATTAAAAACTGTACCAATGATAAATAGCGAAAAGATTTTAAAAACAGATCAAAAAAGATTATTTCAGAACATAACTAGTTAAAAGGAAACAAATACCCAGTATCATGTTACATTAAAGTTGAAATTGGGCGGGACCAGTATTTGTACACATGTTCCAGACAATGGGGACAATCATGTAGAACAATAACATGATCCTACAAGGACATATATTGTGTAGAGATATGGATGTACATATATAAATGTATGAATATTGTGCTTGAGATAGTGAGGATACCCAGTGCATTACATGTGTAAATCTTCTTGACTTGATGACACAAATACATATTAATAAAAAGAGTACACATGTGTGTCCATACAAATGAAGATTAAAGAGAAAAAACACAATTTAAAGCTGTAGGATTATATACTGGAATGTTTGTGTACTTGGACATCACACAAAGACTAACATTTACAGACTATGCAATGATTTAGCATGAAGTGGAAGCAGTTGAACATACAAAGATTAACATAATCACAGTTTGTGTACTCAGACATTTCAAAAAAAGATATATATAGCCTCATAGTTGGTAATATCTTTGTATACTTGGACATTTTACAAAGATTAGTATCACACGGACAACTGTTTGATAGGATGAATTTGAAAACGAGAGCAATGAACTCGGCAACAATTTTATGCAGCCTATGGATTTTGCTGACATTTTGTATAACACCATGTAAATGTACCGATCCTTCAAGCTTCATAGAAGTCAAAACTGCAGAGGGAACCATTAGGGGTCATAGGGTTCAAACTAGACCCCTTGAACACTTAGAGGTTTTCACAGGGGTACCGTATGCCCAAGCTCCAGTTGGTGATCTCAGGTTTGCCCCACCACAGCCTGTCAAACCCTGGGGTGAAGAGGTTAAGAATACTACCTCATTCGGAGCTGCATGCCCCCAGGATTCATCCTTGTTAGATTTGGTAAACTATCCACATGTCCCTATGAGTGAGGATTGTTTGTTTTTGAATGTTTATTCACCCAAGTTGCCTCGCAAACCAGAAGAGGGCAGCACCTATCCAGTAATGGTTTGGTTTCATGGTGGCTGGTTCACAATAGGCACATCATCATATTTTGATGCTAGAATTCTTGCAAGTCACAAAGGTGTCATTGTTGTAACAGTAAATTACAGACTTGGACTTCTGGGATTTTTCTCCACAAGCGATGATGCAGCCCCGGGTAATTATGGACTTCTCGACCAAACTGAATCATTACGATGGGTTCAGAGAAACATTGCGCAATTTGGAGGCGATCCAAAACGTGTGACCATATTTGGGGAAAGTGCTGGTGGACGTAGTGTTGGACTCCATCTTATGTCCCCGTTGAGTAAAGGTCTCTTCCAAAGAGCTATACCCATGAGTGGACTTGGTATTTCTCCCTGGACCGTCCATACTGACCCTGCATTTGTTAGCCAACAAGCTGAGAATGTGGCTAATGCCGCACACTGTCCTCTCGCTTCAAGTGCCCATATAGTAAAATGTCTACGTAGGAAAGATGTGAATGATCTGGCTGGCTACCATGTTAGGAATGGATTTAGATGGGCAGCTACCATTGATGATTACTTCCTAACTGACCTCCCTGAGCAAATCATTGATAAATATGAGTTTAACCGAGTCCCAATATTAACTGGAAATGTCAGAAATGAAGGTTCTGTTAAGTTCCTTGAGGAAGAGTACATGACACCAGAGGGCTTCAATAAGACATTCACAGAGGAAGTCTTCAGGAGGTTCCTAATGCCCTTATATGGAGCTAAAACTAAGGATGTCTTGAAAGCAGCGTTATGTGAATATATACCAAGTGATGATCCGAGAGAGAACAGAGACCTCTATATGGAACTTGTTGCTGATGTCACATACATTTCACCCCAACATAGATATGCAGCCATGAATAGCCACGTGGTCAGCAGCACTTGGTTATATTTCTTTGACTATAGAAGCATCAGTGATCCCTCACCCCATTACTATGGTGTCCATCATGCATCTGAAGTACCATATGTATTTGGTGCCCCTTATTGGTCTCAAAGCTGGCCCTGGGGGTGTGATTCAAAATGGAGAAATAATTCAGACTATTGGACAAAACAAGATGAAGAAATGAGTGATGTCATGATGACAATATGGAGTAATTTTGCCAAATATGGAGATCCGAACCCTCTACCTACGAAAAATATGCACTGGCCGCAGTACAATGAATATATGGAGGAATATCTCCACATAAAGGAACCATTTGAGGTTTCAACAGAATTAAAACATAATCGCATGTCATTTTGGAACTCATTCATCCCAAGTGTTCTCTCTGGGGAAGATGATGCATCTGAGAGGTGTAACAGGGTTCCATATAAGGATGAAGATAACCAGAGTCCCAAAGATGAATTATAGTGCATTTTACATTACTTTCTAAAGTATGGTAAATACATTTCTAAAGTGACAACCTCAAAATATGAGCACACATGATTTTTTAAAATCTCATTTATCTATGTATAGTCAGATTTCATTAAAATGCTACTTGGGTAGTCAACACTTAGTTGACACACCTGCCAATTTGAACACTTTTGGCTGGTCCCATGGGTGTTCGGATTAGTCAGATCTTACTGTATATTAAAATGGAAAAATATGCATTTTGTTAAATGTACAACATTTGTGAACCCATATGACCTCAAGACTTCGTAAACAGGGGTTTGTACACATGTTTGGCACAGCACTCTTATCAAGTCAAGGCTTTTTGAGGTAAATTAGAATATGATCTGACCTGAAATGCTTTCATCAATAATTGTGGATGCTGCAATGCAACAGTGGTGCAATAAAATAATATTGCGTACATGAATATAATATCTGTGTAATAAATCCTACATGATTGCTATGAAAACATGATACTGCCTTTGTTTGTGCAGTGAGATAAGAGTGACTTTATCAGTGGATCAGACCACACAAGAGGCAATATTTAAAAATACAAAAGAGACTGTACAGTAAACCCTGTCTAATGGGACACCATTGGTACCTCTAAAAAGTGTTCCACTTGTGAGGTTCATTTAACATTATGTCAGTTGGTCTTGGGACTCTAAAAGGTGTTCCACCTGTAAGCTTCATTTAACATTAAGTCAGTTGGTCTTGGGACTCTAAAAAGTGTTCTTCTTACAAAGGTGTTCCACTTCACAGGTTTCACTGTATTTGAGAATACAAAAACTCATCTGACATCATTGAGTTAAATACACACACAGTTGCTAATATTGATTTTGATTTAAAAAAATTGAGTTGATCAATACACAGCAATGACTCATCCTTCTTCCATAACCTTCAGCATACTTGGCGTTTAAATCATCTCAATTTTCATCAATCTTGAGGAGTGAAATATATGATACTTCCAAAATTCCCACTATATTGTATTGCACCATTTATAAGACAAGACACAAAATACAGTAAAACATGTCATAGTGAATTCCATTCAGATTTTCAACTTGATTAAAACTGATGACCATTTATATTTATGACAGCTGGCCATGGAGATTTTCAGACTGAATATCCTTGAATTATGGCCATTTTGATTTACCTATTGTTGATGGCCATTGTGAGTTAAAACTATTGGGCTTCCAGAGTTATTCTAGCAAGTGATATTAGACTGATTGCTGTTGGGAATGTAGGCTAATTTAGCTTTAAGACTAATTTGGCATTTTGCCCCCCCCCCCCCCCCCATTTTGATAAGGTTCACCAATGCCGAGTCAGATTTTAACATTTTGATTTTTTAGATCAATGAAGTGGTGGCTGCAACAAATATAATTTATGTGTTTTTTAAAGCACTCACTTTTAATTGATATATAAAAAAAACAGATTATTAAAATAATCTTCATGTCAGTGTCATCCTGAATCTCTAGACTTCAGTTAGCCCATATGGTTATCTTGACCTTTCACATTTCACTTTTAAAGGTTACTAGTATCTCAACCAACTTGAAATGTTCTACTGTAATAAATGTTTATCAAATGTTAAATGATAAGATAATAAGCAAAATTTAATACATAATCAGAGAATTGTGATTTAATTGCCTAGTTGGAGCACTACAAGGGCACAGTTGGCAACACGTTCAGAAGGGGCTTTATATGGTGGAGATTTTTCTGTCTCAGAGATATGAAGTTCAATCAAGACTTAAATTGAATTAGTTGTCATGCAAGGTTGTCAAAAATTGAGGCTTATTTTGGTAAATTAATGTGTGTATTTCTGATATTGCTAATTGTCCTTTCCAAAGTTTAATGAATGATATAAACAATGAAATTTATTTTGATATATGCACTAATGTGCTCTTTTAAGGTATCTGGTGTTGATCATGCAATGTACAACAATTACAGAAAATAAAAAATCTACAGACAGTTTATGTGTTCTTGCAGGAATTGGTCGGTGTTATCTTCACCCAGAAGCTTCAGCTGGACAAAAGAGATACTACAATCAAAGACCTGGAAGGCTACATAGACAAACTTCTGGTACGCGTCATGGAAACCGATCCTCTGCTCCTCCAATCGCACACACAATCGCACAACTCTAATATCCCCCAGAAATCAACAACGGGAGATCACTACACGTCAAATGGACACCCAACTTTGGCAAAAACAAAATCGGAGCCTGTGACTATGATTTCAGACCCTGTTGTGCCAACTAACAATCCTATTCCAGATTTCATTGATAGGATACGAAGCATTGAGAAACCTAATTTTGAGCTTTTAAAAAATCATTTTGATCCACCAAAAATTAATTTTGATTCAATTTCTAAAATTCAGAACCCGTTCAAAAGAGGAAAATGAGCTCAATGTATCTAATTAATACATGTTCTTAGTTACATACACGTATGTATATACTAATTACTATTATTGGTATATTGTAAAATGTCATGGTGATATATGTGAGAATATTAATTCTATAATTTTCCCTATTTACATGGGCAACATGACAGGTTGTGCTAATAGTAAATGTGTAATGTGTAACAAGGTATTCTCTGAATAAGTCTCATGCAATAACTGAGGATTAAATGACTTGTGAATTTGTTAATATTACCAAACATAAACTTAAAATGTGGTCCAAAAGGTGACTTCCAGTTGCCAAACTTTTGGATGGGAGTTAACTTTACATTGGAGTTTACTTTACATTGTACTGTTTACTGCTGAAGAAATACTTCCTTATTCATATGGCATGTTTACACGACATAAGTCATCTCTTCTACAGTAACGATCTACATTAACTGTTATCAATTGGTAAATTTATGAACAAAATTGTGCTTAATTAGAACAATAGATAATGGGGCTATTCCTAAGGATAGTCAGATGCATTTGTTTAATAACCTGACATGCAACTCTCTGAAGAATTTTTACTTGAGCCCATTAACATGCAGAGTCAACTATGGGACTGATTGAAACTCTGTATGTTTGAAAATCAAAGATTTTGAGTCTCATTTCAAAGTTTTCCTTCAAACCAATGTACCTTCCATGCTAATAGTATGTTGTTTCAAGACACATTATAGCCTATGATAATACATTAGAGAATCAACTCTCTAATTACATGTTGTATTATGATAAATAAGATATATGTCAAAAAGTAAATCAAAGAGCTTGATAAAGCTGGTACTGTTTTTACATCTAATTGTGAGGTTATACCTGTAGATTGATTAAGTTTTAACATCTAATTGTGAGGTTATGCCTGTAGATTGATTCAGTTTTTACATCTAATTGTGAGGTTATGCCTGTAGATTGATTCAGTTTTTACATCTAATTGTGAGGTTATGTCTGTAGATTGATTCATTTTTTACATCTAATTGTGAGGTTATGCCTGTAGATTGATTCAGTTTTTACATTTAATTGTGAGGTTATGCCTGTAGATTGATTCAGTTTTTACATCTAATTGTGAGGTTATGCCTGTAGATTGATTCAGTTTTTACATCTAATTGTGAGGTTATGCCTGTAGATTGATTCAGTTTTTACATCTAATTGTGAGGTTATGCCTGTAGATTGATTCATTTTTTTACATCTAATTGTGAGGTTATGCCTGTAGATTGATTCAGTTTTTACATCCAATTACCCAAATGCGAGAAGTTAGTTACCAGTTTCACCACCAGGTGGCTGATCGGGTCAATTAACATGGCAGGTATATAAGAAAGTTTCCTTAAACTTGAATATTATCAATTTAAGTGGCTCAATTTTCATATAACCCTTATGTGCCTGATACTTATACTAATGAAAATATGTCCAGTAAAGCAATATATAATCTGTCCACTAAAAGAAAAGATATTTCATTTTTTGTGATTTTATAGCATGGGGTCTATGGGGAATCTCCCCGAGCTAGAAGTCACATTTTCAAAGAAAATTAAAAATTGAATTTTGAATTTTTAATGACGTAAATCAAGATTATTTCTACTCGCATCTGGGTTATTGTGACGTCATGCCTGTAGATTGATTTTTTACATCTAATTGTGAGGTTATGCCTGTAGCAACTGCATATTGGCAGTGATATTTCTCAATGAAAACTAAAGAGAAAATGTAATGCAAACGCACTGAATAAATAAATAACATTGTTGCATACATTATTTTACATGTAGAGACAAATGTGCCAGAATTGTACATGCTTATATAATATTGATATTGGAATAATAGTGATAATTGCATCCATCTGAAAAGGGTGAAAAGTATATACTCTATGTCATTGCTATATATAATCTGTATATCCTCAAAAGTGTATGAGGTGCTAAGTTGATTTTTGTATATTACCACTACTTTAATAATAATGAAATAAAATATAACAAAGAGAATCTTCTAGTTTGATGTGTGTATGTAAGAGATCTTAGGTGAGACTTCTTAACAAAATATTCCTGACAAAGAAGGAAAATATTTCTTTGTTTGGGATTATAAAAAAAATCTTGTCCTGGAAAATACTTTCAAAGAAGATTTCAAAGAGTTTGTAATTACATTGTTCCCAGATGCGAGTAGGTAGTTACCAGTTTCACCACCAGGTGGCTAATTCGAAGAAAATATCATGGCACGGTATTAGAAAGTTCTTGAATATGATATCATGGCTTATTAAAATTGATTCTAATTTTGATTGGGCACATTGCTCCCTGAAACCCATGACATCATCAATTTAGCCAAATCCAATAGCTTTCATGTAGCTAAATGTGGGAATTTTTGGGAAAGATCAACTAATTTTTTAGGTGAAAATGGTAGAAATATTGAAACTTTGAAAATATGCTTTTACAGGATCACTAGGGGCTATTTATACTGTTTTATGGTTTTTAGTGCTGAACGTCATAGAACAGTGTAAATAGATCCCTGTGTACAGGATATTTCATCTGAATCAGTTATAAAATTATTCCTTCATTGTTATGCTTCAATGAACAAAGTCAGCGTAGTCATGGTCAATTGCAAAATTCTAATCTCATCGATTTTTTATACTATATTGAAAAGGATATTCAATAAATTGATCTCCCCATTCCTCAAACATCTCAAATAGACCAGAGTTAAACCATGTGGTAAAGTGGAGCAGTATATCTATACTTGTGAAATTATATTTTTACTTCCGATTCTCTCACACTGCTAGGTGAAGATAATGGCTGGGGGTGTCGTACAAACCACTCTTAGTTTTGCCTTGAACTTTTTTATCTGCATATGATATTTGCGAATAAATCCAATTATATTTTGCTTATTCTATTGAGAAATCAGTAAGAGTCACTTGAGGGCATAAAGTGGGAATGTACATTATACGAGCATGTGACTAGGCAGTTCATTAAATTGACGTTTTAAACTCCCCCCCCCCCCCTCACAAAATACATCTGAGTTGGTGGGCTGTGTTAGCTATTGCACTAAAGACCTGAATATGGAAAATACTTTTGTCTATGTTTTTCCCATTGGGTACCCATGCACTATGAATATATTTGCAGAGTATGTTGAAGTAGCTTGTAAACAAACCTTGTCTGGAGTATTTATTAATGGATCTGTTTTTGAAAAAACAACTGTTTGCATCCTAGGTCTCAATTTAGCTGAAACTTGCATTTTTACATATGAAATTGGTTAAACCTCGTTTCACTAGGAATTGAAAAACACGATTGGCATTTTAACATGTTAAACTTTTATTGCATAATTGCAAAAATGAAAACAAAATATACAAAACAAAGTAACAATTTGAAAAACATGACATATGTGTAGACTAGTGTTTCTGTTAAATGCAATTTCGATCATTAGTGTCCACTTCCAGTTTTGGGTCATTTAACCATAAAATCATGTACCTCTACTTGGAAACCACAATGTGAGATAAACATGTTCAAATCAGAGAAACTAATTGGTATTGTTTTGTCATGAACAAAAGGGTGAAAGTGCAAAATTCTGTCATGTTCAGATAAACATTCATGAATAATAACCCTGATGTTTGGTTCACTCTGGTAAAGTAGACCAAATGGAGTGACGGCACCAGGTTTAACACGCAAAATTCTCAAAAGATCATTTTCAGTTGCAAAGGAAAAATTTCTATGAGCTGACAGTTTTGACTTTAGCATCTTCAAACAAACTGAATGGTCGCTATGACATATGACTAAATAAAACTGAGATTTGCGATCTTTCAAAAGCAGGTTCTTGCAAAATGTTCCCCTTATGTCAGAATTTTGAACATTTGTATTCACATTATAGTCCCCTATAGAGAAGGATATACCAAGTTCCTACAGGGTGTGGAATAGGAGATCCCTCCCACACCCTTGGAGTTCATTGTCCAAAGTCGCCGCCATCTTGATGATGAGACAGGACTCATGTTTTATAGTAGTCTACACACACTATGAATAATGAGTATTTCACAATGAGCTGGTCCCATGAATGATAGGTTGATAAAGGACCAGGCCTGGACACCTTGTGCCACCAGATTCATTGTTTTAGCGTCACTGTATTCCAGCGTCACATTAGCACACTATATAAGTGTCACTTTAGCATGTGAAGTTGCACACTTGGCAGCCTCACTATACTTTATCTTCAGTTCATTGTCGGCATTTTGTTTCACATCCATGATTAGTTCGTCACCTGGTGTCCCGGTCAGATCCTCTGCAAAAACAAAACATACCCCATTTAGCATTGCCTATTCACCATCAATATTTGACCAAATGAGGTCTAATTTAGTAAAACATTTAGACTCTAAACGAAATTGAAGACCTCGTGTAACAAAGGTCCATCGAGTGATAACAATGCATTTTAGTTCATACAACCATACAAATGTAATTTTTGCAAATCCAAACTTCTAAATGTGTAAACAATCGGTCTATTTACTACAGTGAGTATAGTTCTAGGCCAAGGACACTTGGAGCAGAAATGGCCGACATTTTGTTTCGGTGCCTGGATAAACTATAAAGTATTTTTTCGTCCCATTCCCTTTACCAGCCCTTTACCATTTCAAACGTTAACAAATGCTCGGATAGCAAGAAAACACATACCTGGCTGTTGTTATGACTTGACTTTGTTTGCATGACTGTTATTCTGCAATTTGGTGAGTGTTTTTCTAGTATGGCCACAAGGGTCAGTGTGATTTGTGTTTTGGCTTGCTTCTTTCTTCGTCCTCTGTTTGCCGCTCTTTCCTGAATACATAGCTTTTTCCTGGTCGTAATTGTAATGGTCGTATTCGTCTTCGTACTTCTCCATAATGAACGTAGAATTAAGTTCAAATTCGTATACGAATAGCTGATTGAAAATGGTTCTATGGTGCAATAAGATGCTCTTGCTGTGTATGTGTATGTTTATATATGAGTTAATAAGTCATGACGTCATTTTTTCGAATGTAGTGATTGGCTGCATCTGTAAATTCTCATCGTGGGATTGGTTAATCATGACATTACACACCCTTGGTATACGCAGCTAACGAAAATTGACCGGCACGGGTCAAAAGCTGGACCGGCACGGGTTAACGGTTTTATTTGAATTTAAAATAGCCATAACTTGCTCAATAATGACTTCCTCGTGTCTAATTTGAAATATATGATGCCTCCCGATGCTTTTAAGTACCCCAATTTTTTACAGATTTTTAAACGGACCAAAACTCTCTAAATGCGCATTTATGCTCTTTTCTCTCGAGAACGGCTGTCTCATTTTCACGATAACTTTTA